GGGGGATAAAGAAAGATGGGGGGATAAAGAAAGAAATTGGGAGGGGGATAAAGAAAGATTGGGGGGATAAAGAAAGAAATTGGGGGATAAAGAAAGATTGGGGGGGATAAAGAAAGAGATTGGGAGGGGGAATAAAGAAAGATTGGGGGGCATAAATAAAGAAATTGGGAGGGGGGATAAAGAAAGAAATTGGGAGTGGGGAAAGAAAGAAATTGGGAGGGGGAGAAGGAAATTGGAGAGGGGGATGAAGAAAGATTGGGAGGGGGGATAAAGAAAGAAATTGGGAGGGGGAGAAGGAAATTGGAGGGGGGTAAAGAAAGAAATTGGGAGGGGGGAGAAGGAAATTGGAGAGGGGGATGAAGAAAGAAATTGGGAGGGGGATAAAGAAAGAAATTGGGAGGTGGAGAAGGAAATTGGAGCGGGGGGAGAGAAGGAAATTGAAAGGGGGGAGAGATTGACATTCATCACACACAATGCACCCTTTGCACACATAAAAACACACAATGCATTACACACACTGACACAGATACACAAGCAATGCAACTGTTTCACACAATGCAACCCTTACACACACAGAAACACACAATGAATTCATTACACACACTCAATGCATCCCGTACATAAACAGAAACACACCTTGCAGCCCTTACACATACAAACACAGATTCACACAATGCATTCCTTACACACATATCAGGACATCCCCTACACACTCCACCCCCTGTGAACAAACTCATTGGTGGAACATGAAGGTGGACCCTGGGACCCAGACCTTGAGCTGTGTAAAGGGCCCCCCAAAAATGGAGCTGCTTCCCGTTCTCCCAGAACATGATTTTTGTGACCACAGTTACAAACAGCCTCCAGGGATCATGGTCTACACCAGACCAGTGGAACCAGACTGCAGCTAGAGCCCATCATCATCCTTATCTGGTTGTAAGTAGGCAATCTAGTATATTATTCGTGGCACTAATCTCTAATTTACCTCACATTAAAGAAACACTATAGTCCCCAGAACCACTGCAATCATATAGGTGGGGCATTGTTATGTCACATGGGGGGGGGTGTCAAACTTTACTTTTGCCTAGGGCGGCAAAAATGGCTGGAGGGGGCTGTGTGAGCTGTGGCCGCACAGTGCCCCATGGTAGTTAGGGTGCCGTGCGGCCAGTACAGCTCACACAAGCAAACAGCTGATAAACTGGCCGCACGGAGGAAAAGTGGGGCGAAGCTAAGCAAAATCGGAGGCGGAGCCAAACTGGCACTGGGGGCGGGGCTTTGGGGGGCAAGGGGGTGCCAAATGCTCTAGGTACGCCCCTGCCCCCATGTACAGGTTTTATGGTGTCTTGGAAAGTTACAGGGTTAAATATAGTGCTTGCAGTTCAAATTCTCTGCACTTTTTGCCTGGGTTGTCAGGCATGTCAATCAAATTTTAAATAATTAAATCACATAATTATGTTAAAATATTACTTAAATATACACGTAGAATTTTAATATATATACATATATATATTTAAAGTCTACGTGTACACTTATGTAGTTATTTATGTCATTATATATCTTTGCGGTTATTTGTATTTTATATATAGATAGGTATAGAATGTAATTCTAAGTGTATTTTGTTACCTATATATATTTATGACAAAATACAGTTAGAATGAAATTACATATATTTTATTTTAATTTTTGTTAAATATATTATTTTATTTCTTTATTATTGTAATTATAAGTGTATAGATAAATATAATATATAGATTATATATAATATATATATCTTAAAGTAGAGATTGTAGCCGTATTAGTCCAGTGATGTAGATGTAAAAAACAGATAAAATTCTTATCTTGTAATACCTTTTTTATTGGAGTTGAGTTGTGATACAGGGGTTAAAGCGACATGAGTGTAGATAAGACACAGGTTTGTTAGAAAATAGACACCATCTTAGCAGAGGGTCATAAATATCTTGTTGAAGAGAAGAGTAGGGGGGAGAGAGGGAAAAGAAAAACAAACAAGCAGACAGTGCACAGGATGATACACTTTATACATGCACACACACAGAAATATGTATATGTGAACGCATAAACACGTGTATATATACATATACATAAACACATATACATACATGCACATGGACTCATATACACAAATATAAATGCACAGTAATATATATAAGCATTCATGCATACGAGTATGGGAAAGCATAGGTCTACACATAGTACTTTGTATATAGATAGAATAAGCATATAGGAATGCATTTTAAAGTGTTGGTACACATGAACACTGGGAGAGTGTTCATGTAAAGTGTTGGTAGTGGGACAGGAATCCCAAATCAATATTTAGTCCTCTCTTCTTGCTGTTAAACCATTTAATCATTCTGGCTTCAAAGGCTTTTCTTTCCTGGGTATTTTTAAAACCCCCTTTCAGTACTTTGATTTTTAGGTCCTTCAGTGAGTGGCCAGGCTGGGTAAAGTGGTGTCCCATAGGAGTGCAGTATGATTCTTCTTTGTGGTGTTTAATAGAGTGTCTGTGCATGTTCATTTATTTTTACACTACCCACCAGCAGTGGGACTGTCTGACATTTCAAAAAGTCCCCCTGCTGGCAGATCCACAGCCAGCTATAGGAGGCCATGTGATCGCTCTTTGGGGGCCTGATTTGCGTGGGAGGGCTGCCTGGGCTGTCAAGCAGCCCTCCAGAAGAGGATCGTGGCCGAGGCGAGTAGCTGGAGGCTCCTGGGGGCTTAAGCCGTTACGTTGTTCTATGCCACCGCAACGGCATTTAATGCAGGACGGCATAGAATGCCGTTAAGCGATTTAAAAATATATATATATAAATAATTTTCCTGTTCAAGAATTGTACATTTCCTCAAAACAATTTTCTTGATAATTGTGTGTAAATATATATTAACAGTCTCAGCTTTATAAGCCTTTCTATAATTAAAAAAATAAAAAGGAAAGGAATGAGAATTACGTTCTAATAACAAACCATATAATCATTTCATCCTCGGTCTGATCATATTTATTTATTGTGAATTGTGTGTGTGATGATCTTAACCCCTTAAGGACGCAGCTTCAAAAACTGGACCTAACCTTAAGGACAAACCTCGGTTTGCATTTTTCTTATTTATTGCACCAACACATGTTATATATCATTTTTTAAAGGACAAAAAGGGCTTTAATCTGATGTGACATATACATATATAAATGCTTATTATAAAAAATGAAGAAAAAAAAACGTTTTTTCCCCAGTTTAGGCAATAATAACGTGTGCATAATAAGTGCAGCTTAAGGAAAGTAATTAAAAAAATATTCAATTAGTTGTTCTGATTTTCAGAGTACATAATATGTCTAGGATTTCAGCTTATTTTGAAAGTTACAGGTTGCAAAATACAAGGAGTAAAATAAAATTTCAATGTGGAGCTATTTTAGAATTTGGTATGTTTGTCTTGTAAGCTTAATAGCCATAACAGAAAGCAAAATTGCCTCACAAAAGTATATATTTATATAAAGCACACATCACAGGCTATTTACCAAAGGGTATTCTGACACTTTTTAAGTAGCCTTTTTGCCGCCAATCTCTGCTAAATAGTGTAGTAATTTTTTTTTCAGATTTCTAACATACACACATAAAACAAGGATTTTTAATGTGTATTTTATAAAGCGGATATATACTACTGCTGTAGAAAACCCCATATTGTTTTCAGCCATATCAACTGAGTAAAAAGATACCCCCAATCTATGCCTTTGCCACTATCCTGTGAAGTTACAGTGGCATAAAAGAGACCTGACCATTTCAGTTTTCACAGTGATAATTTTGATAGATGAATTTGATGGGGGCAAGTCTCATTTTGGGGTATTGTAGCAGTTTAACTGTTGAATTTATCCCTCAAGGACCTACTATTGGTGAAAGTAGACACTACAGTGTATCACATATGGTGTATATTGTGCCTTAACGTGATGCAATTTTTTCACCAGTTTATGTCAAACTTTGTGGTAAAATAATTTTTTTCTTCATTTTTTTTACATACACGTTACATATTTGAGGTCATTTTTCAAGTCTGGTATGTGCCACTGTGATCAAAACCCCATAATTATGCTCAGCAAACTCTTCTGAATAAAACAATACCCCCAATGTATGTCTTTTCCATTATCCTGTGAAGCTACAGTGCCTTAAAAGAGTCCTGACCATTACAGTTTTTACAATTAGAATTTTGATAAATGGATTTGATGTGTCTATATCACATTTTAGGGTGTTGTAGCAGTTTTATAGTTAAAATTACCCCATAAATGCATACCATTTGTGAAAGTAGACACCACGGGCTATGTCATATGGTATATTTTTTGCTTTATTATACAGTTATGTCAGCACCAATTTTTCAAATTTTATCATTGTTTTATTTTTGCATTTTTATTCGCACATGTTGTATTTTAGTGGTTAATTTTGGAAAACTCGATATATGCTACTGTAAATAAAATCACTAAATTATTCTCAGCTATATTTCCTGAGTACAAAATGACCCCCTTTGTATACCTTAGCCAGGTTTTTGTGAACAAATACAGGGCTAAAATCATACCCGGCCCAGTACAGTTTTTTTTTTTTTTAAATGGCAATTTGACAATGGGTCTTTGTTTCATTTTGGGGCATTTTAGTTGCTCATATATTTAAATTACGCCACCAATGCATACCATTTACAAAAGTGGACACCATGGGGACTCTCACATCAGGCCCGGACTGGCCATCGGGCACACCGGGCAAATGCCCTGTGGGCCGCGGTGGCCATGGGCCGAGCCGGCAGGGGAGGTCCCAGGATCTCTCCTGCCAGTCTTTGCAGGGCCGGCACTATCTGAACGCCGGCCCTGCAGTAGTCTACAGAGATCTCCCTCACCGGCCCACATGCAGGATAGTGCGGCCGCCGGGGGAGAGAGGGAGGGAGTCAGCCTGCCAGCAGACGAACCCCGGCAGAGATTTAACTTACAGCTCCGCCGGGTTCCTCTCGCGAGATTCGGTGCGTTGCCATGGCAACGCTCCGGGTCTCGCAAGAGTGAACTCTAGCCCAACAGGCTAGAGTTCACTCAACACTAGGACCACCAGGGATGGATGGCAGCCCCAGCAGCAGGATCCCCCCTCCCAGGCATAAGGTAAGCAGGGAGGGGGGATATAATCACTCAGGGCACAGCAGCCTCACAGACACCCCTGACACTCACAGCACCCTCACTCACACACACATTGCACCCCTGACACTTACAGCACCCTCACACACACACACTGCACCCCTGACACGCACAGCACCCTCACACACACACACACTGCACCCCTAACACTCACAGCACCCTCACACACACACACACACTACACCCCTAACACTTACAGCACCCTCTCACACACACGCACTGCACCGTACCCCTAACACTTACAGCACCCAATCAATCACACAGCACCCAATCAATCACACACACACAGAACACCCTTACCCACATAGCACACTCACGCAAACACAGCACCCATCACTCACACACTGCACCCGTCTCGCACACACACAGCACCCTCACACTGCACAATATGCTTTCCTAGCATTTTTGTCTCCTGGTATCCCAACTATGGAGACACCAGAGACAAATTTCAAGCAAACACAGTGCAAGCATGTTATTGAATTTGCTTGCGCTGTGCAGAACAAATACAGGGTCTTTTTCTCTGCTGAAGAGCTCTGGCATGGTCTACCCTGGAAGAGCATTGAACCAACATGCTCACTTTGTGATGGGGCGTGCTTGTCATTGGTGATGACAAAACATACCCTATCTGGCCCCGCCCCCTTTGTAGTGGGCCGCTGTAATTAAAAAAAATGCCCGGGCCGAGTTTTTTTCCCAGTCCGGCCCAGTCTCACATAAAACATAAGCTTTATTGAAGTGACATTTTGTTTCAAAGTTTGTAGTATTTTTTATATTTACATTTTTACATACACAGTGTTTTTGATGCTTATTTTTTTTTAAATCTCATGTGTCCCACAGTCATAAAATTATTTTAGCTGTACTCAGCAACATCTTCTCAGTACAAATATACTCCATATGTATATCTTTGGAAAGTAGCGATCTTAATCCCAATCTAAATCCCTAATCCTAAACAAAGCCCTAATCCCAAATCTAACCCTCAATCTAATAATAAACCCTTACCCATAACGTAATCCAATGTGTAACCTGAATTATAACGTTAATCCTAATCTCAATGCTACCTTTAGCAATAGTGTTAAAAGGATTCCCCCTGCTGGTGTCAGCAGAGGAATTTACTTGCTATATTCAGCAAGGGATGCCCGTGCTGACCCCAATCCTAATCTGAAACATAATCCCAATACTACAATTAATTTTAAACCTAATCTTAAACAAATTTAACAAACCCAATAATATGATTATAAATGATAATAAATCTAGTACTTATTCTAAACCGAATAATAATCCTTAATTTAATCTTAATCCCAAAGGTTTCCCTCTACTAATATCAGTACTGATATTAGTAAAGGGGTTTTAAACTAAAATAGACAGTGGTATGTTGCCATCTACTGGCTATTTTCAGTATTGCAGTCTCCCATCTCTTACATTGAAGACATTATGCCCAATGCAATGCTCTGTGCTGGGCAACTGAAAATGCCCAGCACTCATCAGAATGGCATTGGGGCATAGAGGTTGACCCCCCCCAGGGTCTGTTCAGATCACTTGAGAGAATGACTGTAGCTGAGCTTGATTGCGCAGCTGCAGTGTTCTTTATGGATTTAAATGGCTATATGCAGTGCTGACTTTCAGCACTGCATGCAGCTCATCAAAAAGTCTGGGGCCACTAAAAATGGCCCCAGCTGACAGAGGGAAGCCCCAGGTATTTATTGATACCTAGGTTTCCTGGTGTGAGCAGAGATTTAACCCTGCTCACACTACATTGCTGTCTATGGCAATTTAAATCCCCATTAAAAGAGCTGCTTGCCCACCTCAATTTTAGCTCTGCATGCAGCTCATCAAAAAGCCTGGCGCCGACTGAACAGATGTGCATGGGTGCTGCTCCTGCTCTAAACATTGAGAAAAAGCCGTTTGCACCAGAATTTTAACCCCAAAAAAACGACCTTGGAGATCCTACAGCCCCACAGAATACTATGGGACGCAAAAACAAAAAAAATGCCCGTCCGGAGAGTGTAACCCACTCAGACATCAGACTTTCTTTTGAACAGCCGCAGGCCCGCAACAAGATGGCGCCGGACAGACCGCATGGCTCTAATGACTCCAGCGACTCTATAGACGAAGAGGGTCCACGGCAGACCACCAACAGAGTGTACCTGAGAGCGGACTCTGACTCCGATGCCTCTCCCTCCACGAAGGGGGACATCAAAAAACTCCTTCAAGATCTGAGGGCGGTATGGAAGGCGGACCTGGCGGGGGTGCAGGTGGAAGTCGGCGGACTGCAACAACGACTCGCAGCGGCGGAATCCAGAGAGGAAGCCCGTGAGCAGCGCCTGACAGACACCCACTCCCAGGTGGAAACCCTCACACATTCGGATCCGCGGAGCTCCAGAAACCGTACAACCGGAGGCCCTCCTGGACTTTGCACACAAAGTACTAAAGGCGATGGGGGTCAGAGAGAATGGTGACTCACCGCTTTTGGTGGCAGCCTTTCGAATAAGGAAGGCACCGACGGCTCCAGCTGACTCACCCAGGGACATAATTGCGGTGACAAGGGACACAGCAGTGAAGTCTGCCATAATGGCCTGTTCCAGGAAAAGCTCCAGCGTGCAGGTAGATGCCTGCTCCATATCAGTGTATGCGGACTTACCATTTTCAGTCCTGCTGGCCAGGCGCAGACTCCTGCCCATCACCAAGTTGCTGAGAGCAAACGACATCAGGTACCGATGGGGGGTCTTGGGAACACTAGTGGTATCCAGGGGGGAGGAAATCCATGTCCTGTCTGCCACAGAGGACCCGACAGACTTCTTGCAGAAACTCCAGCTGCCCCCCTACCTGCAATTCCCCAGACACTACAAGGGACCGGTCGCCCAGCAGCCGTGAAGGCGAAGACACACACACTTGGAGAGAGGGGGAAAAGGGATACCCCCAAGCTGCTAAACCCTCCATGAGACTACCCATACCGGAGGCCTGACGGCCATGAAGCTGCTCCCATAATGACTGTCCATACCTACCAAGAGTTTCAACTTAAAAAAAAATTTTTGACCTCCGTCTGAGTTAAAATGTTTGAGTTTACACATTTTATGCCACTTTATGTTTAATTATTTGATTTAAGTGTGTGCTTTGGAAGCCCTGAACATAGACACATGAAACCCTAGGGACGATACTGACCACAAAGGTCGTATGACAGTGGGGCACGGGGAATAGGGGGACATGGAAACGGGGACACACGGGACACTAAACCCAGATTCTTACATGGGCCAGGCAACCTCCCGGGAGCTATCCTCCTTACCCCATTGGATTCCCAGTTACGATACCACCCAGAGCAACAGCCGCACCCATAGGGCGTCCCCAGTGACAACCATGTAATCCGAGCCGGCAGACAAGAGGGTACATTTCAGCGGTTGCTGAGACACAGACAGGACCACACACCAGGCGCACAGCCCCCTTATAAACACTAAAGCCCTTCCATGCCTTTCCCATATTTACACTCAGAGACATGGAACCGCCTCGGTTTACACTGAGAGGAGTCCCGACGACGTACTGACCCAACATACACCCAGAGGACGACAAACGCTAACCATGAAAAGCCAGAATGCGTCCCTGCTCCCCTACACCCTAGAGTGGCCACAAAACTACACTAAACTACAAGCGACACAGTCCGAGCCCATACTATACTGACCTCTACACCCTCGACTGATTATTACCATCATATTGCCGTATTCTGACTTATTATTTCCACGGGTAGCTCTATTGTTATGCACCACGAAGACGCTCGGTTATAAAACCGTTTATGACTTTACTCTGTTTCTGAATTTTAATCACCTAACAACACAATTTGTATTAATATGTTATTTTAGCAAAATGTGCAACTTCTCAATGAATGGATGTCTAATCTTGCCTGCTACTGCGGCACTGCAGACATTTCTGTCAAACTTCTTTGCACAACAAAAATAAAGAATTAAAAAAAAAAAAACCTGGCGCCACTAAAAATGGACCCAGCTGACAGAGGGGACCCCCAGGTTTCCTAGTGTGAGCAGGGATTTAACCCTGCATTGTGTTCTATGGGGATTTAAATCCCCATTTAAACAGCTGCATGCCGATCTCACTTTGAGCTCTGCATGCAGGTCAGCTGTCAGTCTAGGGACATTAAAAATTACCCCATCTGACAGAGGGGAGACCCAGGTTTCTAATGATACCTGGGTTTCCTGGTGTGAGCAGGGATTTAACCCGGCTTACACCAAAATCTAGATATAGGCATTTAAATGCCTATTTAAGCAGATACATGCGCTGACTTCCAGCACTGCATGTAGCTCATCAAAAAGGCTGGGGTCACTAAAAATGTCCCCAGCTGATAGAGGGGAGCCCTAGGTTTCTATTGATACCTGGAACTCCCTTTTGTGACCAGGGATTTAACCCTGATCACACCAAATTGTAATAGTGGGGATTTAAATCCCCATTTAAATGCTTATTTGCAGCGCTCACTTTGAGCTCTGCAAACAGAGCATCTGTCAGTCTGGGGTCACTAATTCTGGCCCCAAGTGAGAGAGGGGAATCAAATGATCAAAACAACCAACAATAGTGTACCTTATACACATACAGCATATATGCAAAGATACTTATCGAATATAGATGAATACAGCCTCCCTCTGATCGCTCCCAGCTAGCGATCAGCTTGACAACAAAATATGGAAAAAACACAGCGAGGGAACCGGCTGTTAATCTAAATAGAAATAAAGAAAGATATAGTGTAATACAGTTTACAATATGAACACTGCGCAATATGAAATGCACTCACAGGATTGTGGACAGATTCAAGCTTGTAATATTTTTTAATATTGAATTAAAGCTGCTTTTTCAAACTTCACCCGGAGTCCTGTATTGGAGAGAGAGTATCCAGGGGATTTCCCTAAACCCCCCATATTTTCGGGGGAGGCATCTTACAAGCTTGAATCTGTCCACAATCCTGTGAGTGCATTTCATATTGCGCAGTGTTCATATTGTAAACTGTATTACACTATATCTTTCTTTATTTCTATTTAGATTAACAGCCGGTTCCCTCGTTGGGAATCAAATGATACCTGGGGCTCAGTTACCAGCAAGGTAATAGACCATGCTGGGAAAATACTGCATTACCCGTCATGTGGCCTTAAGGGTAGGACCGGCATGACGGAAACTTTCCGTCATGCGTCCTTAAGGGGTTAAAGAACACTGTATAGTTGTGGTATGGAAACATGCATTAGGAGATTTGTCTTATTCAACTCAATTCTATAGTGTTGTCTTTGTATAAAATGTATGTTTGTCAACTTTCTGAAAAAATAACAAGCTCAATAAAGAACAAAAAAAACCATACCAAACACACAGAGCAGATCACCTGATACACTGTCACACAAACATGATGCTTCTCCCATCTCACGGTGTTAAGAAGGTTCAAGTCATACAACTGAACAGGAACCATCTTTTTATGTCACTTTGTATTATGCTGCATTTTTAACAGTTTGTAAGGACAACATTTATTTAAACTATTCCTATGACTCATGTTATTTGTGGTAAACATCAGTATTAACAAATCTAGTTCTACAGGTTGTGAAATCAGTTTACAGGGAGTGCAGAATTATTAGGCAAGTTGTATTTTTGATGATTAATTTTATTATTGAACAACAACCATGTTCTCAATGAACCCAAAAAACTCATTAATATCAAAGCTGAATATTTTTGGAAGTAGTTTTTAGTTTGTTTTTAGTTATAGCTATGTTAGGGGGATATCTGTGTGTGCAGGTGACTATTACTGTGCATAATTATTAGGCAACTTAACAAAAAACAAATATATACCCATTTCAATTATTTATTATTACCAGTGAAACCAATATAACATCTCAACATTCACAAATATACATTTCTGACATTCAAAAACAAAACAAAAACAAATCAGTGACCAATATAGCCACCTTTCTTTGCAAGGACACTCAAAAGCCTGCCATCCATGGATTCTGTCAGTGTTTTGATCTGTTCACCATCAACATTGTGTGCAGCAGCAACCACAGCCTCCCAGACACTGTTCAGAGAGGTGTACTGTTTTCCCTCCTTGTAAATCTCACATTTGATGATGGACCACAGGTTCTCAATGGGGTTCAGATCAGGTGAACAAGGAGGCCATGTCATTAGATTTTCTTCTTTTATACCCTTTCTTGCCAGCCACGCTGTGGAGTACTTGGACGCGTGTGATGGAGCATTGTCCTGCATGAAAATCATGTTTTTCTTGAAGGATGCAGACTTCTTCCTGTACCACTGCTTGAAGAAGGTGTCTTCCAGGAACTGGCAGTAGGACTGGGAGTTGAGCTTGACTCCATCCTCAACCCGAAAAGGCCCCACAAGCTCATCTTTGATGATACCAGCCCAAACCAGTACTCCACCTCCACCTTGCTGGCGTCTGAGTCGGACTGGAGCTCTCTGCCCTTTACCAATCCAGCCACGGGCCCATCCATCTGGCCCATCAAGACTCACTCATTTCATCAGTCCATAAAACCTTAGAAAAATCAGTCTTGAGATATTTCTTGGCCCAGTCTTGACGTTTCAGCTTGTGTGTCTTGTTCAGTGGTGGTCGTCTTTCAGCCTTTCTTACCTTGGCCATGTCTCTGAGTATTGCACACCTTGTGCTTTTGGGCACTCCAGTGATGTTGCAGCTCTGAAATATGGCCAAACTGGTGGCAAGTGGCATCGTGGCAGCTGCACGCTTGACTTTTCTCAGTTCATGGGCAGTTATTTTGCGCCTTGGTTTTTCCACACGCTTCTTGCGACCCTGTTGACTATTTTGAATGAAACGCTTGATTGTTCGATGATCACGCTTCAGAAGCTTTGCAATTTTAAGAGTGCTGCATCCCTCTGCAAGATATCTCACTATTTTTGACTTTTCTGAGCCTGTCAAGTCCTTCTTTTGACCCATTTTGCCAAAAGAAAGGAAGTTGCCTAATAATTATGCACACCTGATATAGGGTGTTGATGTCATTAGACCACACCCCTTCTCATTACAGAGATGCACATCACCTAATATGCTTAATTGGTAGTAGGCTTTCGAGCCTATACAGCTTGGAGTAAGACAACATGCATAATAAAGAGGATGATGTGGTCAAAATACTCATTTGCCTAATAATTCTGCACTCCCTGTATATATTATACCTTTAATAGATACTGAATGTAATGTGCATGAAAATGTGGTTATTTTCTCTATAATGGTTTTTGACGCTTCACAGAAGTCATTTGTGCAGAGGAAAGGAATATCTACCACCAATAAATTCCAAGGCATGTGTAGAAAACATTTAGTTGGAACATTTTTATAAATAAATGCAGATAAAGTAATCACAAAAAGGGAAACGCACAAAGAAAAAATCTGTACATTATCCAATGTAGTGAGCTTTGTAATAAAGCAGAGAATAGGCAAAGCCAGCACTACAACATTAAGAATGTAACCAAGACTACAACTTTAAATTACCACCGTTTTCCAAAGAAATTTTATTTGAGATAGCATCTTTACAAAGATAGTTGAAATATGAAAGTTGTTTGATAGAAATATCAAGCTGTCTTTTCAAACACACCAAATAAAAAAAAAATAACCAGAGCTCACAGAGCTTAAAAAGGAGCAAAAAAGATTATATGCAACCATCCAAAATGTCACTGCATTTCCCGGCTCTGAACAACTGTGTTTAGAGTCTGGAAATACAGTTGAAAAATTTGTTTGGTACTTTACAGACACCATGACACTATGTACAAAAGAAACTGTGGTACATAACTGAACCTAAACACAATGCTTTAAAATTCTAATTCCAATTTATGCCTCAGTGCTCCCCATTCCCAAGGTTTAGATTTCCTTTTAGATTAGTCTTTATACAAGTTCAAACACTCTGTAACAACTACTCCAACCGAGTTTTCTTTTTACAGATTCTTCGAATTCATTGTGGAGGGACATTAAAAATGAAATGTCAATTAACAATTAAACCCCTACAGTCCAGGGTGAGCATTTTTTCTTTTTGACAGTAAGTTAGGACAGGGAATTATGTTTGAATGCTTTAAGCCAATATACTGCATTCAATCTTTATTTCGAGTATTATGTTACACAAAATGACAGTACACATTTCCTTTACACCTCAATCTAAATAAAATGACAAGTTGGACAATTTGCTCTCTCCAAAAAAAATTAAAAATAAAAAAAAAAGCAAAAAAAATAAAATAAAAAATGCTATGTACAAAATGGTTTTATGTGAAATTCATCGGCGAACAGGGAGCAGAAGCTGAGTTGATGTCATTGAATCAGGGAAAAGGCTGTGGTAGGTTGGGAGTGGAACATATGCAGCAGTAATCATCTTGCCTGTGAAAAAGGAAAAATACATTAAAACTATATATTGAACTATATTACAATGAATGCAGGAAGGGTTTTGTTTCTGTTAACTCACCAGCAAACCACCTCCCATGAAGAGCGTTAACTGCTGCAATTGCAGACGCAATGGTTGGACATTTCACATACACATTGCCCTGTTAAAAAAATGGGAAAGTTAAAAACAGACAGCAGCATCAGTCAATGGAATTATTGGCATAGCTTCATAAAGAGTAGCATAGTTTTTGCCACCAAAATGTTATTCATCACTCTAGTCAAATTTCGAATTTTCATAAACAAGTAGTCTTTCACCATTAACGTGCAATTTGCAGCTAAGTAAAATTTACTGTGTTCATTTCTGAAGGCTGAAAAAATAAATAAATGTGGAATTCTACACAATATACACTCTTACTTTCCCAACAAGTAATGGCCTGAAGCAAAACAAGCCAGCAACTTGTTATAGCACAAAAAACCCATAACCATTTATGGACTAATTATTGCGCCTTTATTAACAGCTATTTTGCGTTGAATCAATGTCTAAAATTACAATGGGGAGGAGCACAAAAACATACCTGAGGTGAATTCTTGTCTACATAAATGTGAACAACTCCTCCATGTTTGTTGCATTCTTCAATAACATCATCCTTAATCTCTGTGTCCCACCCGGGTTCGTCTTCTCTGTAAGTGTTGAACAAATGGAATAAAAACATGAATCATCAGAACCAGAGTAAACACTGCAGCTGTTGTGTAAGTGCCTCCTATGGTTTGTCAGATCACAGCATCATGGAACATTGAAAAGGCACAAAACCGAAAAAAGTGCTACTTCTTGTCTACCCTTGGTCTAACTCTAGGCTAGTCATTAATGATCATGACGTAGCAAATACAGAACATGCAGCTTATAGTTCCACCAGTTGCAAGGGAGCTTTAGTGTTTTATAATGTAGAGTTAGCACGCCACCATGTAGTGACCGATTACGGCCCTGCCTGTGCTGTAGACATTACAACGTGCAAAATTTCAAATAATTTTAAGCTGACAGGTGGGTAACTAATATAACTATACCTGTCTGCATTTGATATGCTTGGCAAGGATAATAGAAAAGGTCTCATCAGCTAGTGTAGCTAAATATTACATTTAATGTTGCACCATAAATTGTGGCTAAAAAGTTCTACTTACGTTTGAGGATTGAACATGTTTGACAGTTGAAAGCACTGGGTAGCAAGAGGCTGAGCAGCTGGTGCAGCTGGGAGAGTAGTTGCTGTTAATGAGATGGCAGCAGCGGATGCGGCAGCTGCAGCAAGTGCTGTAAAAAATGTAAAAAACTATTTAATTACAACAAAAACAAGCCTAAAAAGGTTGTTTATTAACATTTCCTTTTCCAACCGTGTAAAAGATTAGGAGAAGAGATTAAAAAAAATAAAAAATAAAAATTCTCAATGCATTTTACCACAGCCCATCTATACACTGGCAGGGATATGCTTGCATTCACATGATGTATACCATCATTTAAAAAAAAAAAAAAGGAATAAAATGCTATACACTGCCTTTCTGGAAGTTGGTACTCAAATTATTTCAGTACCTTTTTTTCTGCTGTAATTTCATGGAAAACACTTTACACCACCAATATGGTAAATTCATTAAAAATAAAAACACAATATAAAATATCTTCGTAGAAATAACACTCACCTTCACTTTGCTGTGAGATCCTAGATTGAAGATCTAAATAGATAAAGGGAAGGTAAAAAATAAATTTAAATGAACAGATTTTGACTTCACATTAATATTAGTTTGATGACTTATTTGCACAATTAATGTCTGGTGTGATTTACTGCAGCTTTGTCACGGTCTGGGGTCTTATCATAAACTGCAAGGGCCCCCCGAAAGGAGATTGTTTCACTGGCAGTGGTGTGGCAAATGCTTGCGAAGTTTTAGAATATTTTTTGAGCAGGATGGAATTTCCTTGAAATTATAACAGTCAAAGTTTGTGTTTTATTAAAGGGACACGATAGTCATAAAAACAACTTTAGCTCATTGAAGTTTTGGTGCATAGATCATTTCCCTGCAGTGTCACTGCTCAATTATTTGCCATTTAGGAGTTAAATCACTATATGTTTGCACCCTAGTCACACCTCCCTGCAGGTGACTTGCACATCCTTCCTATCACTTCCGGTAAAGAGTCAGCTAATGTTTATACTTCATTGCAAATCTATTAAAAAATTATCCCCTGCACTGTTAATAGCTTTCTAGACCCCACAAGCATTCGGTGTATGCGTAAAGTTCACTTTAGAGAGCAGGCAATAAGAACTTTTAAAGTAAGTTACATCTAATTAAAAGAGAAATCATTTTTTCATGAATGGGGAGTGTCACAGCCAGGGGAGGTATGACTAGAGCTGCATGGACAGAAACAAAAGGGATTTAATGTCTAAACTGCAGGGATTTGAGCAGCGAGACTGCAGGATCATGATCTATACACTAAAACTGCTTCCCTTAAGCTAGAGTTGTTTTGGTGAGTATAGTGTCACTTTAAGTTTCAATCGTTATAAAACATGTAAGTGAAATCAAAGGTTGCATTTTATTACAGAACTGCATGAGATCGACCCAAGCTATAATCAAATAAAAAGTAAGCAACCACTCCTGCACTTTATAGCAGATTAGAGTAGTTTCAGAATAGATTATTGGGTATCTTCAGACTTGTAGAAACCTTTGTACAAGTATCAGCTTTAAAACTAAGTGACTTAAAACCAGAAGAAAATGGCAGCAATTTCATTGTATAGAATAAGGACATTTAGTGTTTTGAAAAATCAATATAAATCAATGTTGTGCCCCACTCTCCCCATATAATTCAAAGACAAGCAATATTTAACAAACAAGCAGACTTTACCTGCTACAGCTCCAAACGCTAAAGACCCACTCATTTGCAGAGCTTGTTGTGCTGCTGGAGGGATCTGCAAACCTGTACCTGTTAAAATACAATTATGCCAATAATTAAGTTTATTTTCATTACTATAAAAACTAATAAAGTCACATTTATACAGAGAATATTTTAAGGTGCTTAAAAAGGCAATATGTTTATGAGCCACACTAAAAAGGTATACAGTATGTTCTCTAAAGCCTCATACCTTCAGCAAGTCTTGCCATTAACTGAAGTCTACCAGTAGTTCCCAGATCAATGCCAGTCCTCTCCAATTCATCACTGTCCAGAAACGAGCTGGCATTGGATGCGTCTGTCCGCTCGGTTACATGGCCGACCTTCATTGGTCTTCCAGCCAGTTCAAAGCCATTTAACTGCTCTAAGGCTTTTTTGGCACATTCAGAATCTGAAAACTAGAGAAACATTAATGATTAGCAACTACACAGGCACTCAAATAGTGGAGATAAAACTACATAATTCAGTGACTTACAGTAATAAATCCATAACCTTTGGATCGGCCAGTCTCACTGTCCATCATAAGCTGGATACTTTCAATCTGAAAGGAGAAAAATTACCAAATTAGCAATATGACATGGCATTAAATATCCAAGGAGCTATACTGAAATCATGCTCTAGTAAGTCAAGAAAGCAGAGTTATGTACCGTGCACTAAACCATTGGGATTCATGCTATACGATTGTAACACAAGAAATGCAGTTCACTATAGAGTAACAATGCGGCCAGTTTTATTTTGTGGATTATCTAAATTGAATTCCAGGGTCTCCACCCCTTTTCAGATTGTTAAAAAATACACAGGAAAAAGGCTCGTCTTTACCCATGGAATTATTAAAGGCTAGGTTGAAAGATAGTTTGGAAAAAAAGAAACTGGCTTAATTTCTCCACCAGGTACGCACCCTGCCAAATGGTTCAAATATTCCACGCAGCATATCTTCTGTGATGTTAAAGTGCAGAGATCCAACATAGAGCCTCATTGGTCCAGCTGTGCCTTTCTGAAGATTATTGGCCATAGCAGCTGCTCTGTTTTTCTCTGCCTGCAAAATAAATGTAAATATGTTGACAACCACTGTAAATATCTGCCAAGACAAGTCACCATTGCATCCGTTCAAGCCTATATAGATTGAAAATGGGGATAAGGGCCTAGTATTGACTGGTATTGGTATCCTATTGGAAAGGGTCACAACATACAAGTATTGAGAGATTGTAACTGCAAACCACAATACAGACTTAAGTTCTTTTCATACCTGAGATGCTTGCACTATGATTGGGACACCCAACACTCTTTGCCCAGTTAGTCCAATTGCCAGAGGCACTGAGCTCACATCCACAAATTCAACATAAGCAATGCCTTTAGAGCGTCTGGAATTTCTGTCTGAAATCATTCTCACATCACGGACCTAAGAGTAAAACAACATTTTAGAAATTAAGATCAAACATGTTTTGAGAGGTTAGTGGAAGTTTTACCTGTATTTTATTGACAGTGTCTAATTATGCTCATGCATCAGATTCGACAAACTTAAAAACACATACTCCAGGGGGCGGGGCCTGAACGCAGAGCTGAGCAGACGCATGCAAGCACAGCTCCTGCTCTGCACAACCTTTCACTCGACTAAAAGGCACAAATTAGCCCAAAAGGGAGATAAAATGAGCTACCGGCGGTTAAATTAAGCTAACCTGAACAGTTTTATACCACACACAAAGCAATTTACACCGGCTTACCGGGATCTGTATTTGAGGCCTAACAGGGTCAGCAACCTGAGTGCCAGGAGAGGCTGCCGATCTCCCGACGGAGGGTCAGCAACGCATTGCAGCTCTGCTGTTCCCCTGCTACCCCCCCTATGGACCGGTGGGGGATATCCCAGTCCCCGCTGGAGGCTCACACTTACCTGCCACAGGGTAAACTACAGTCCGACGGCAAGCCACACGAGGCACCAAAGATGGCCGCCACGCAATATCCTGAACACGATACAGAAGACCCGGTACTCCAACAATGGAGACAGCACTTTGAAGCCCGGTTCGATCAAAGCTGCACTGCCTTCTAGAGGCGACTAGAGCGCAAATCTACATCCCAAACCCCACATGAAAAGAAAGAGCATGCACCAGAGGCTGCCTGCCAGACTCACTCCGGGCACAAGATCCATACGGAGGTGCACTCGCCCCGCCGCCCAACCATCCGGAGGGCACCCCGCAAGCTACAGAGCCCTAAAACCCAAGCACACGCTGGACAAGGTACTGCCACATTACCACCCACCAAGCGACGTACCACAAAGCAGAGGAAAACTGAGAAGCGGCGGAGGGCAGTCAGACGCCACCAGTACAAGAGCTCTTACTACCGACCTACCTCTGGCCCTCCAGAACAAGTAAAGACCAGGCGGAGTGACCCGAACAGCCACTCCACCAAACGGGACACTCATCCAGCATCGAAACTCCCCAGGGGGGAACTCAGAAGTACCACTTGCCCATAGTGTGCCCTGTGAGTTTCCCTGAACCTGGGGATTGGCTGAGCCAGAGACTCCCTGAGGACAGAGGACTAAGCAACTAATCTCTGAGTCCCCTATACTATTGATGGACACCATCTTCTTATAATGCGATACCATACCGTCTTAGTTAGCCTGTATCCCAGCAGTTAATTAACTTATTAACCAGCAAGCACTAAACATATCTACAAACCTTTTAATATGTATCTCGCAGACTATCACTCTATTACTAGGACATCTCACCTTTTATACACCCATAACTTACTTAGTGCAGACAGTATACCTAGTTTGAGACTAATGTCCATAGTAAAATAGTGCAGAACCATTAAGATCGCCATATAACGCCAAACTCTGGAATATACGTCTCAGGCAACGTGTTTTATCAATCTTGTGGGCAGATTACGGTCTACCTATAAGCATTATTTTTATCATACTTAATCAGCCTAGCTAAGGGTGTTTTCTTGTTATCAAATGTTACCACTAGTGGTTACTCCTCATGTCCTATGCATAATTGGTCTGTCAGGTTTAAACTTTATAATACATGTAGGCACGCTATATCTCGTTAATCATCAGATGACTACTCATGTATATCCAACCTAAACCTGTGCTTCCTGATGCATTATTGTGATCTTACGTTTATTTTTCCTTTTACTCTTACAAAAAAAAATTGTGCAGATTGTCTTGACATGCAAACTACTTTTGTCTCCCTACTGTTTGTGGATATAGTATATGTCAATGCATACCTGTTTTATTACCATTGCACAAGAAAACTAAGAATTAAAAAAAACAAAAACACATACTCCAATTCCACAAGGTATTTTAGAGAATGAATAAAAAGATGCACTGCTTTCAAATTTCTGCTGCAGATCCACTGGAAAGTAGAGAGTACACAATTTATTTTAGGGCCCTCTCTTTCTAGTATTGCGTTATAATGGTGCAAGGAGGGTTCCTTTAACAGGACATGCTGAGGATTGAGCACCCACCAACCCCTTTTCTGTGTGCGTTTGTGTACTGTGACTGATTTTAACAATGTCAGCATAACAAACATATTTCACAGTCTGGATACTTACATATTAGTCCATCCTTGGATGTACGTTAACTAGCTCAATATAACTCAAACTTCAGAAGTACACGGACTACGTGCAGTGGTAGTATGACAAAGTTTGGAAGGCCACTTGAGGTCTCTACCATGTTTCCAATGTTGCTTAATGTGCTATTAATTCTCATTTCATTTTCAGGTGGACATTCTCCAGATTTGTACCTCTACTGGTTGTCTATCCTCACATGTACAACCACCTATTTAGACATGCCCACTTGAGATTCTGAGGGCATTATCAACCCCCACCACATTTAATTTGTATATACCTGATCGACACTCTCCATGGTGTGGGGTAGTTATTCCTGGGTTTGAGTCGTTAACCTATGGAGCCAACTTATCAGGCACCACCTTTTCAGTTTAGCTTTTGAATTGCCACCACCCCCCCCCAAAAAAAACCTCTTGCTCCACTTGAAGTCCTATGTATAATGTTCTGTTATTTATCTGTCAGGTGTATTGTGCTTATGACATTTTTACATGCTGTCTCACTCATTAAGATATACAAAAATAATTTTAAAAAAGGCAGTACAAATGGCACATCTACCAATGGAGCCATTTCGTTGGTAAAACGTAATAGTGATGCATTATGACAGAATTTGTCACAGGAGAAATAGCAAAACAAAACACTACTATATCATAGCCAATACTTTATGGAAAGTCACACATTGACATTATGAACTCGAACAGTTACCTTGCCAACAGTAGAGAAAAACTCCTCCAGGTCTCTAGGCCGGATCCTTGCTGCAAGTTGCATACAGAAAACTGTGCGTGCATCTCTTTCTTCAGGTGTTAAATTATCTATTGGCTCCCTGAAAAACAAATTATTTTATTTACAAATATCAAATAAGGAATGTTTAACAATTCACAAAAGGAATGTTTCACACGTAATAATGGTGCATTAAGACCTAAATTGTAAACAGATATATACGCAGTATATAAGTTGTGATTTCCACCTACAAAAACCCATTTGCTACAGGTGTGCATGCTTGTGAGTAGCAAACAAGTTATATTTGCAGTGTGTAGAGAGAAGAAGAACCTGAATGTGTGTTCTTGCAAGTTTGACTGCATTGGGCTGGGATCTGTGTTTGTCCATCTAGAAAAAAAATAAATTTACAGACATTTGCTGCAACATTTCACCTAACACGTGACTAATGGTCACTTGACTTTCTACAGCACGGCAGTTTCAGTTATGGGTATAGCAAGGATTTTTATGAGTTACATATCAAGTGTCAGCCAACAGCTAAACTGCAACACCCACTCAAAAGGGAACACACTGCAGAATAGTAGAAAAGGGTAGACTTATGGGGGTAGTGGGAAGAGAAATAAAATAAATCAAATACTGTATAACTAAACATTGCACTCACACTTGTGTCTGGAATCGTATTGTACTTTTAACAGAGCTGGGCGACTGTCCCTTAAAACGTCAAACTTTACTTGTGATTTTATTTATCTTCATCTCCAATGTCAAAGGCTTAACTTCTATATTCACAGTGAAAATCTAGTTTTAAAAAGGAGTCCTGCAAGCACTCCGAATTAGAGGCTCTGTTATTGGCAACTCCAATCAACAAATGGTTTTAAATTGTGAAAAGGGTCATATTCTCTGCAGCTTTTGCCTCCTAATCAACAGTTACAGCATCTTATTTCATAGTTTGAGCTCGCCAAACCCTTTAGAAGGATAAGAAGGCTAAACTTTCTCATTAGGAAATGAGGAGCTAGGCTTTAGGGCAGGGGTAGGCAACCTTTTAGCAGCACTGTGCCGATATAGGATTGTGATGTCCCGTAGCGTGCCGGTCCTATTTTTTTTTAAATTGAAGTGTGTTTGCTGCCGTATTCTGCTTGTGTTATTTTTACTGTAATTGCTTTGTATCGTTGTATTTGTGCATATTTGAGCTATTACATTGTATATGTTCATGAGTAGTTTATGATATCGTGTATGATACATATGAATGTGGGCTATGTATGGGGGCTGCTTGTGGAATTGTGTGTGTGTGGATGGATATGTCACATTGTGTGTTTGGTAGTGTGTGGGGGCTGTTTGGGGTATTGCATGTGAGAGGCTGCATGTGGGGTTGTGTGCATGTATGTGGATTGTTAGTGGTGTTGCGTTTAAGCGGATTGTGTGTTTGTGTGTGGGCTGTTTGTATTTGTATGAGGGGTAGGTTATTTTGCATTTCTGTGTATATCTAGCAGTGTGGGTGGCGTCCCTGGATTCCAGTGGGGACCAGGCCGGCCAGATACAGGTCAAGGACAGGAGCCGCAACAGCAACTGCGAGCTGTTCTACTACTGTGTGGATTCCCATTCACAATTGCTGGAATGAAGTGCTCTGAGATCACTTTCTCTACATGCTGCAATGCATAAATTGAGGATTGTCCTTCACCACCTTTTCGTATTAGCAGATATCTGAAGTTTTACTGGGACTCCTTATAGGCCAGAGCCTGTTTGGCTCTAGCAGCCTTGAGTGCCATGCAAAGGCACCTCGAGTGCCGTAGGTTGCCTACCCCTGCTTTAAGGAATACTTACTGCCAAACAGCCTTAAAATGGAACCCCCAAACAACTCTAAATTTTGCAAATGTATTACAGAATACCCCAAATGGTAACAGACATTCTACATTTATGTCAGTCTTAAGTTGTTACAATAAACCTCAAACACTTTTCCATTAAACCCAATGTGACAGCAGACACTTTACTGAAACCAAAGAGTAGGTTAACACCACTCTCCAAATATGCGGTAATGGCAATCATTACCAACCTATAAAACACTCCTCTGCTAAACAGAGAGGGCAAAGTGATGTTTAAAGGGACACTATCGGCTTTATTTTTATTAAACTGATTATAGTGTCCAGAGTTCCTAAGTTCCATAATTTCATTCAGCATTAAACAGTTTCATATTTTTATGTTTCAATGCTAAATTAGAGTCCCCAGCAGCCCCTCCTCTCTGTGCTGCTCCGGCGAATGAGGAAGTACTAGCATGAGCAGCAATGATTGGCTGAGAGTGTCAGCTGTCTGTTTTGGAGACAGTGCCAGGAGATTTCAAACATCACAACCAATTCAAAGAGATGAAATGATTATAGTGAGTATAGTGTTCCTTTAAGTGTATACTGCAGATTATCTATTAATATTTCACAATGATATAGGGAAACAGACTGATCTTTACTAGCCGCTTTTTTTTTGTTTATTTGCTTATTTTGCTAATTGTACACACTGATGCTGGGCACAAGCAGACTTTGAACCAATGCTGCTAAATATAAATTATTAACCAAGTCTACAGTCAGCTTTTAAAAAATAAAAATAAAAAAATCCCAGTGTGGGAACATTGCCTTTCAAATCTTATATTTCTAGTTTAGGTTACAATACAAACACCCAAAACAGCCCACACTAGTGTAGAATACGAAATTAGTACTGCACATGCAATTTTGCTCCCACATGCATGTCTGAAAATGTTGTTCCTCTTTTTCTTTTTTTAAAACAACCATTCAGCTGAAGCAGATGCATGCACCAAAGCTTTCTAAGGTGATGGATTAAAATGAGTTCACGCAGAGAAGAACTGCCTACATCTACATAAAAGCTCGTACCTGACAGGACTTTTGTCTTTCTTTTGTGGACTTCTACTCTTTGAACGCCGCCTAGATTAAAAGAAAATAAAAGCATGTTAACACAAAGCTGGATTTATTTACAATGACTAGTAAGAAATGATTAGATTTACAAACCTTATTTTTACACTGTGTGGTGCTCCAATCTTGCCACGCATAGAGCTGCCAAATTTCGGCCCAGAACTTAAAAAGAAAAAAAAAAAGTGTGTAAATTTACACATTTTATGTAAACGTAAGCAGTTAGAAGATATTTTTTTGTTATATATTGAGCAACAGTCACAAAATAACCTGCTCACCCATACAAATACTGCATTATTATTTTTTTTGCATAGGGTATGTGCAAATACTGCAACATGGAAAACTGAAGTGTTTAACGGATAACACATTGCATACTCACAGAATGTATGCAACCATAAAATATGTTTGCAAGAAAAAAAAAAAAAAATATCCAACATGACCTTATTGACAACTACTCACCACACACTTACTTTAAAACACTACCTTTAATCCTATAAAAAAAAGATAATCATGAAGCTAAAAACAGTGCAGTCTATCAAAAAAATGGTTTAAGTTAATTTGTCAAACAAAAAGAAAGTATAGGTCGTTCATTCCGATTAAGGGGAGCCACACCAGAAGCTCAAAGATTTTTTTTTATTTTATTTATTTATTTATTTTTACAGACAGCGAATTGGCTCCCGTTTAAATCAAAGCTGAGGTATATTTTGTTACATGACTGCCTTATTTAAAGTTACGGCAGGATGTAAGGTTGCGTATTGTTCTTTTGGTATCAGCAATTGTCACCAACAGATGCTCATTAAATTGTCACTCTGGGTTCCAAAGTTGCAGTGTCTCACTTTAATCCGGTTTATGGTTTCATCTACATAATTTGAGCATGTGAACAGATCGCAAGTACCTGTAATAGCATATTAGCTTATGACCAAATTTGTTTTTTAAAATAACATCCTCACCGTAAGTTAGGCAATTACTTGTCAAAGATATTAATTATGCACTAATCAATTGGTTATACAAGTTCAACTAAAAATCAATATTACATAATATCAGAAATATGCAAGCAGGGTTTTAATGTGAATATACATACTAAGGGCTTCTGTAGTGTCCCCTGAACCTGCGTTCCCTACTTCTCGACCGGCTCTTTTTTCGCTCTTTGCTGCGGCTGCGTTTCCTTTCACGACTTTTACTAGATTTTCTTTCCCGATCTTTGCTGCGTTTACGTTCCTTACTCCGACTTCTTTTTCTCTCTCGGCTGCGGCTTCTGCTTTTACTCTTTTTTTTCCTTTAAAATGAAACAGTTATTGTAAAATCAGCAGGGTCTCACTGTCATCTTTAAGAGATATCAACATACCAGGTACAATGAAAAATATATATATAAGCTAGTTTGACGTTATAGAGCCACTTTAACCCCTTAAGGACACATGACGTGTGACATGTCATGATTCCATTTTATTCCAGAAGTTTGGTCCTTAAGGGGTTAACTTGCTCCTATTGTTTTCTCTTCCTCTTTAAGAATGTTAAATTTCATCTCTGCTCTATTTTGCTTTAAAAAATATAAGACAACGGCCTAATTTGTCTTGTGTATTTTACCTACGCTTGACAATTGTAGGCAATTAAGGCAAGTTCCATTTCCTTTGTGGTTAACAAAGGTTGACTCTTGCCGCAAACATTTGTCAATTGTGCAACGCATTGAAAAAAAATTACATAAGACAAAAAGTAGTCAGTTGGTAATATTTTAAAGAGAAATAGATTAGAAGGAAGAACAGATTCTAAAAGAGAAAACAATAGGAGAAAGATACTTTTGGGAAGACGAACTTAAAAAAATTCCAGAACAACCCAATATTGATGCATGTTCGTGGAGAAAATGGCTTATACGGACACTATGCATATGAATGCGTGAAGTAGGCACGGCTTTGTTAGTAGGATTATTCCAACTAACAATTTTAGTCAAATATTCTAAGATAAAGACACCCAAAACTTTATAATCTACTAATAAGGTAATCAATGGCAGTGTCCAAACTGAGAAGTTTTACTTACTTCTTGCTGCGTTCTTCATGTCCATTGGCACTGTTCACTTTGTTCTCATCCTAAGCAGGGTTGATAGAAGAACATCATGAGGACGAGGTGGAAATAGTTCAAGAGGGCAAAGGGTAAAGGGAATTGGAATGAGAGAATAAAAAAATAATTTAATGTCTAGCTAATATAACTAGTGTGGAAAGCTACAAAGAAATACAGGGGACTTAAAAAAAAAAAAATTTAAAAAAAAAAAGGATATATATAGAAAGTTTTTTAAAAGTGCTTCACTATCATGTAAAGTCATCTATAAAAATGTAAAAAAGTTAACTAGCACAAATTGATTTAGAAGCTTGTAAATTATCAGATCAATTAGTTCTGGCTTCCTGTGACTCGCTGAGTGGTGAAATGCTGGAAATTATTTACATGTGAAAAAGTAGTATTGAGATAAAGGTTTAATCTTGTGATGTGGTCCCTGTGATCAGTACCAAGGCTACGATTTGTCTAAGCACTCAATGGCCATGCTAGTAGCCAGCCACTATCCATTTCCTGTGACCGATGCCATTCCAGTGATCTTCGCCCATTTTCGTTGCAGGATTGGGACTGTAAGAGCTTGGTGCCACCTCTGTCACACATCTCGCCCCCTGAAGCAAACAGGGATTCACACTGCTTTAGTAACGTCGACTCCCAAGAAAAGTCAGCAAATATGCACTTGCCCAGCCTATACATTTCCCTATTTCCATACCTGTTTACATGGAAGCATCCATGATAAGTTTCACGAAGTTAATAAAACATTCAGTTTATTACTTTCAAGGCTAGGTGATAACAAAATGGCACTAAATGCCAAGCTAGTCTGACAATGTGGTAATTAGCCCACAATAAGGACTCAAGATCATCTATGCCAGAAATACATAGGGGTATGTTGTTCCTTTGCATGCAAATAGTAAGGCAAATATCCAGATATGAGGGCAGGAGTATATTTCAAACTCCATTTAAAAAAAAAAAAAATACTACAAATGTACAGTTAAATATAGGGACAGGTTAAATCCTGCATTTACTTTACAATTCTCATCTGCATTTACATTGAGAAGAGCAGAGCAGCTACAGCAGGATACTGGAAGTACTTTATGGTGGTTTCAAGAATTTTTCTCCCATTTTAATTTTTACACCTAGTGGCTGAATTCTTCCTGTCCTTATGGAGGTTTTCACCAGCCTTTATATTATTAAAAAAATTATTTAATCTCATTAAAAATGAGCAGAATAAAATCTGTTGAACTGCACTGCTCTTGACTGGTGAAAGCGGATATTCTTGGAACCCCATTTCTTCCCAAAAAACCACTGCATTCACCTTGTTGCTATGCCAAACCGGAGCTCGGCAATTCATAGGCAAGTCTTTTTTACCTAGGGGACCACGGTACAGCGATACGTCACTCAATTACTACCTTATGATTGACAGTTCACACTGGAATCAAAGGTGAATTCATGGGAGTAGAGGTGATATATCGTTAGGCAAGTCTACAAAAAGAGATAGATGGGCATTTATTTATCACGCTGAAGTCAAACTACTGCACAAAATAAAATCACAAACAGTAAATATTTACGTTTCAAGTTATGCAATATCTCCAAGGGATAAGTCACGAGAGCTCCAGGGGTGTTAGTTTACATTTCAGCAGTAGTTTCAAGAATAAACTACGCTCTGAAAACAAAAACTACTGGCAGATGTTTCTCACCTTCCTGTAAGGAGCTTCCAGCATCGCTTCTATGTCAAAGTCATCAGCCATTTTGGTAGATCTCTAAAAAGCAGCCAAGAAAAAGATAAGTTGAAACAAATTAGTCACAAGAATAAAAAAATATATACATATATATCCAGGAACATTCTCTCATCTGGACTGTATCATGTACTGTATATGCCTTGACAGGTTTAAAGAAACAATAGACACCAAAACAACCTTGGCTCAAGGAAGCAGTTTTGCTGTATAGATCATGCCCATGCAATCTCACTGTTCAATTCTCTGCCACTTAGGGGTCAAATAGATTAATTTTTTTTTATGCAGCCCTAGTTATACTTCCCAGCAGTGACTTAGTTTTCCTAAACACTTCCAATAAAGAGATTAAATGTTTAAAACTTATTTTATTGCAAAATCTGTTTAATTTAGAATGTCTTATCTTACACTGTGTTTATAGCTTTCACAACAAAGATGCAACTAGAGCTGCATGGACAGTAACAAAAGTGATTTTGAACTCTAAAAAACAGAATTGAGCAGGGAGACATCTATACACAAAAACTGCTTAACCTAAGTTATTTTAGTGATGTAGTTTCCCTTTAATGAACATGGAACCAAAAGACCAAACAATCGTTTTGGAGCCATTACCCGGTTTGAATGTGTGTATAAACACATTTGAGCGTGTTCCAAAACAAATATTGCATCATATCCCCAGTATATTATTCACCAATGCAGTTTGATATTTAATTTATAAGTTTGGTTTCTGCAGTACTGAGCAACAGAATGCTTTTGATTCCCAGAGTAACTCATCTATACTTATCCACATCTGACTCTTGATCTCCTAAAGAGCCACACTCCATCCCAGTTTTGCTACTTTTCCACCTAGTTTGATGGCTTCACACTTGCTGCCCTGTTGTCTGAATTGCAAGATTTTGGAAAAAATTGTCAAGGCGCAAGAATATATTTAAATCTGGGGCGGAGCTTGACCGCTGATTGGATCGGACGTGTTTCGTCTGAGCTCCCGCATCAAAACCTGAAAATAGTAGCAGAGAGCCACGACCCACATCGGTGACCAAAATACTCACTAGCCGACGGTGTACACGGAGATACCGCATTAGACCCGGCACTTCATCGAAGTAACCCAATCAAGGCCTGAGACCTACCGGAGCTTGAGTTTTGACGAGATGGCAGCTCTCCCAGTTTTCCGACCAACGACATGCTGTCCCCCCGCTATCCCAGTCCCCCCATCTGAGCCCAAACACCCACCCTGCCACAGAGCACAGACTGGGCAGTTCTCCCCAACACCCTACAGCCGCGTGTGCAGCTACATGGCGAGAAACAGCAGAGCACAGGAGAGATCCTACTGCAGAGCTTGATTACCACAATAGACAGCCTCCAGGGAAAGCCAGCGGACTACACCAAGACACCGGTTGCCGAAAGTAAGCAGAGAGAAGAGGGGCGGAAAAAGAGCGGATCCCCCCTGGGCACTCCTTACAAAGCAAACGCACAGACTCACACGATGGGCCCGCTTGGGCTGAAGACCACCGGGGAGAAAACTCTGGTGCGTCGGGCACCGGCACAGAGGGCGACTATCCATGACGATCCGCTGCAGTCCCCTGCCAGGGAAGAACTCTGCCTCATCCATAAGTATGTAAGTTCATGGCCTCCAATTGCAGGACTTCAAGACGGATCGGGGCTATGGGGAGGACCTACTCTGCCTCTTGCTGACATGCAACACCCTGAGCCTATCAACCCAAGGCATCTGCTGATCTGGGACCTGCACCCAAAGCATGACACACTGGACTATCCCCCCCGATCGATAACATATCTGCCCGCACACACAGCTAAACCGACATAACAGCACATGGCGGACACGCCAAGCACACAACTGGCACAGACAGATACACCCACACTTGAAGCACCCAACTACATACCTGTCAGGGGGAGTAACTGCCGACCGGTACCACATACTAAAACTATGATTTGGAACCTGTGGTTACACAAACTTATAGCCTAAACATGATGCCTAAGCAAACCTAACGCAATTCTGCATTTTTGCCTATATCCTGACACATTCTGTATCTCATTGTACCTGCTACTCTACTAATATTTAAAAATGTGCTTGTTTTTCCACTTCTATTGATATGCTCGAGGACTGTTGTTGGGGCACCCCGAGATTGTATGTTATTACCAGTGTAAATTAAAAAAAAAAAAAAAGGTATATATTTAAATCTATTTATCTGGCAGATCTTAATTTGCTACAAGTCAGATGTTCACAAACAAACCTGTAAGGGTTTTCTTTACATTTCGCAAAGGTATTAAAAGATTATATTAATTCCTTAAGGACAAAACTTCTGGAATAAAAGGGAATCATGACTGTATATTTCCACCATCTGTCCTTAAGGGGTTAAATAAAAATAAAAGCTCACAATGTTTAAGAAAAAAACAAAATACTATTTGGAATGCAATAATATGATTAACTGTAGAATTGCAACCAACACATATAGTCTTAGGAATGCAACAAAATACTAAACTAGAAGACTAGGCCTAAACCCAACAATATTGATATCTAGCAGCCTGAGGAAACCAGTTATAACATATGTACAAGCACTTCCTTGTTTAAAAAAAATAAATTCTATACCATATGAATATTGCATATATTGGTTTAACTGCCTCCATACAATTATGTCTGCAACTATAAGAGGTTCTATGACATTTTTGCCATATGCTACTTAAGGCAAAGTTTTAATGCACGTGTCTGCAGCACCAAAACACAACTGTGGCTGTTTAAAGATAAAACTTACATTATAGTAAGTGGTGGACATTTTAACATCATATGACTAAAAAATAGCATTTTACTGAAATTTACCTTTACATAATCTGCAACATTTTGGTCAGAATGACTCCTTTCCAGTTCACATGGTTACTCACTACACTACAAACTGACGGTTATTCAATTTGTAACCAAAGTGAATTTAAGTCCAAATTGCAAAAGTTAAAACAATCAAATATTATAGAGTTTATTCACAAAATTACATCAAAAAGTTAAAATAGCTACAGGTGAACGTTTGGCTACCTTATCCTGTATTTTACATTTCAATTTGTGAAATGTCAATACAGTCAACAACCTTGCTGGAGATGTATTTTCTCTCAACAACTGCCACTTTGGTCTAACATTTCAAATGTAAAATTTGTTATGTGAATAACTCACATTTTAGTCAACAACCCTACATACATGGTTTATACCCTGTTAAAATAAATAAATATATATATACACACACACACACACATCAACATTGATATTACCTGGTTTGGTTTTGCCAGGTAAAGTATTATTAACATAGGGTGACAAGAAACACACATATGGACCCAGTTCCAGGATTATTAATATGGGGTGTCCAGAAATACAGATAAGGATACAGGACTATTACTATGGGGTGTCCATAAATACAGATATGGACCCAGGATTAGTATTATGGGGTGTCCAGAAACACACATATGTACCCAGGTCCAGGATTATTAAAATATGGGGTGTCCAGAAATAAAGAGATGGACCCAGATTCAGGATTATTAATATGGGGTGTCCAGAAATACACATATGGACCCAGGTCCAGGATTATTTATATGGGGTGTCCAGAAATACAGAGATTGACCCAGATTCAGGATTAGTATTATGGGAAGTCCAAAAATACAGATAATGATCCAGTATTATGGGATGTCCAGAAATACAGATATGTACCCAGGTACAGGATTAATATTGGGTGTCCAGAAGTACAAAGACCCAGGTCTAGGAATAGTATTATGGGGTGTTCAGAAACACAGAGATGGACCCAGGTCCAGGATTATTATGGGATGTCCAGAAAGCCACATCTTGACCTATGCACACGTGTAACATAGGCCCACGTTAAAGCTGCGGCGTGTATAGATCCACACAACAAATACAAGGATTAAAAGCAACAGGTATAATAAAATCCGCCAACAGGCCCCATTGGGACACAGTAAAGTTCGCTGTAATGGCCGCTCACCAGGCTCTGAATAAAGAGGTCAGCCCCAGTGACAGCCTCCATGGAGCCCTGCCCTCGCCAGACACACACACAGTGAATACAGTGATAAATAGAGCCCACAATGCGGGCTGACGGAGTGCGGTGAGAGGATAGTTACCTGAGGTGAACCCCCGGTCGGAGCTGGAGGGGCGCCCGCCGTGTGCTGAGAGCTAGGCCGCGGCCTTGTTTATGGAAAGAGGACGGTTTCGAGTCGACAAACCGTCTAAATCTACAAAGAGAACAAGGCTTCGTTACAGAGCTAGACAGGGGAGCGGCGCGGCCAGCGGGGCCACGGACAGGGTGGGGAGAGGAGGGCAGGGTGAGAGGGTTACTCGGGGCGGGAAGATGGCAGGCCGTGTAATGGCAAACCTGTGACTCCCTGAAATGGCGGCCACCAAGCTCTTTACTCTGGCACGGGGTTCCCAGGGCAGCGTTGCAGGGGTCGCTGACGTCAGGGGAGAGCGAGTGGGGGAAAGGGGGCGTGGCGGAGAGCGCCAACGTTTTCGATTGGTCACGTGGTATTCGCCTCAGGGTTCATTTGCAAACTCACCTTTTCCCGCCTTTGTCTTTACCCTGATCAAATAGTCAAAACAAAAAACACACAAAAAAAGCTGCCATTCCTGTGTGACTGGTATTCAGTGCCTGTGAATGCTGCTTTTTAAAGCTAATTTAAGTGAATACTGCATAAAAACTAGACTGAATAAAAAAGTTTTTTTTTAAAATAATTAATTTATTTATAAAGCAGATAGGCTGCAGTGCTGTACAACAGGGGGTGCAAACAAATAAAAAGAAGTTGGAGGGATGTGAATATAAGATATTATTTATGGCGTTTATATTTTATATAGCGTCAACTCGTTCCTCAGCGCTTTACAGTGTTATAAAAAAAAGGGGGGGGGGGTTATTCCTGCTATTTCAAATATCTGTACAGCGCTATCTATGGAATTTGCTGGCGCTATATAAATAATAAAATAATAATATATTTGTTTTTCATTTGGTTTGGATTATGTTTATTATGTGAGTTTCACTAACGCATGAGTAGGTTATCTACATTTACGTGTATGATGACGCCCTTTTGGGTTCGATAATCTACACGCCTTCATACAACTAGCTCGTAATTCTTTTCAAATAATTTTTGGGTGAGTTTTAAAAGATATAAGTTACAGAAATGATTTTTAAAAATGTTTAATATGGATTACAATATGGGGGAAATAACAATAGTAATATATACATCCATAATATTTAAGAGAAAAGATATATATATATATATATACATATGTTTTTACATAAAATATAAAAACTGGTGGCGGGGGCGGACCGTGGAGCTGAAAGGAAGCCATCTCATGCAGCTCCAGTCCTAAATAAAAACTGAATAAACACAGATTTTTCTGCCCACAAACTGACTATTAACCCTTCAAAATAAGATATCTGACTAGAGTAACCTGCCAGCATGACAAAGAGACCAACTGGCGGCTGCAGATCTTACAAAAGTGAGGAAGCTGAAAACTCGTGCCTACATGATGGCATGAACCTGCGTCCTATTGCTGTGCCTGGAAGCACTCTGCACATGCTCAGTGAACGAGCATGATATGAAAGTGCCTGTCTCTCCTAACGTGCAAGAGGCGACCGGAGAGAACACGCTGCGGCCCTGCACCCCCCCCAGGATCGGGAGGGTCATCCCGGTCACCTGTTAAATTGTTTAAATTGTTTCCTGTTTTGAAGATGCAAGTTTTCATATACAGGCTTGCGGTTACCAGCCTGCAATTGCGGGACGTTGGATGCAGCTCTGCCAGTATGTACTCAGCCACTACAGGGGAGACAAGACATACATTGTGGAGCCCCCTACTTGCCTTGTCACGGAACGGATTAAATGACTCCTAACACACTCACCCAGGGGTCCGCCTAGAAATCACTCAGGAGCGCCGAGAGGACTGCCGACATGCAGTGGCATCATGGTTACCGGACTGTCTAGGGTCGGACAGGAGTGACCTCCATCTCTAGGAGATCCGGAGACCTGGAGAATGTTGCTTCCTGTTGCTGCGAGCCCGGCCGGGCTGGTCTGTGGGGGGCTGCGGTGGACTGGTGGCCACGGGGCCGCATGGACTAAGCTTAGGAGCAGTGGCCTGTCTTACTTATTGAGACTCCACCGGGACAGTGGAGGTGCAGAGGCCGCCCAGTTAGTGGACTCTAGGAGAGGGGTGGTCTCATGGACTGGGTTACCTCGAGTGCCCGCTATACCTGGAAGCTCATGGGGGGGGCATTACCTGGAGCCGGGTGTTAATGTATATGTTGGCACCCATGGGTGCCTGATGTTGATGCACTAGGCAGGGCCCCGCAGAGGCTTCATACTACACCTCACATGTGACACACTCAGGCAGGGATAGCTCCCACCTAAAGCAGGAAGTTATTTTTACTTACTTAATTTTATTTCCTTAATTACCTACTTGTGTTATTTTTTTTTTCATTTATATAACCTGGCCGCACGTGCTTGGACCAAGATCCATGGGGTTCACAAGAGGACCTAACCAGGGATCTTCACGTAGGGCCCTATCCCACAGGCTCCTCCACAACCCCGAGAGCACACTTCCCATCTTTTTTATTTCCCCTTCTCTTATATTATCACATCATGATTACCTGGAGCGCTAGAGGGAGTTATATTTGGTACAAACTTAATATGGAGTCTGGGCTATGGCTACACAAGCCTAACAGTAGAATGGAATAGGCCATGCGCCATAGTTAATTACATCGTTTTTGCCACAAGATAAATCATAAGAACCCAGGGGCTCCCAGGTGGCAATAAACAGAAGAGCTGCTTCTTCTTCGCTGCATTCTTCTTCCCGCACGTTAAGGCACAACGGTCATAACTGTAACCCTGTAAATTGATTTAGTTTTTTGGAATATACCCTTTATAATTGCAGCAAAAACACACAGGAAATAGGATAGAGCAAAAGAAAATGAACAATCAGACATACATAAGCGAAACACTGTGGGCTGACACTCGCCTTTAAAGGTTAACCTGAAAACTTACATAGCTCATACAACTTGGATAGCAGGTGGACCTGATGCACAGTTGCAACCATGCGATTTTTCTACATACTTCCCCAAACCGACTATTAGTTATCTTTATAAGACACACGCTACTAAGTCTGCTGTACTGATATCAGTATTAACTTAAATACTTAAAGTTAGCACTGATAGACTTACATATATAATATACTCGTTACTCTTGAGTTCATTAAGCACATCTTCATCAAAATGCCCACTTATTTTGTAATATCTGTCGGCAATGTCACAGTATGTCATATTTAACTGCATTCCATTCGCACCCTTTATTATAAACGCCTGTATACAGATATGACACCTGTAGTACACTTCATGGATGCGTTGATTTCCAGACTTGTAATTATATTATTGCTATCACGACTGACTTTACTGCACTGTAATGCTGCAATATTATTGTACAACAGCTTATATTGAAACAAGCCCACTTTTTATGTATGCAAAATGATGTGAATAAAAGCCTTTCTTGAATAATTAAAATATAAAAAATAATATATCATAAGTGTATGTACAGAAGATAATAAAATAGATAAAAATGCAATATACCAGTAATAAAAATAACAATAAAAACTACATTTATGTTAGTCGACTGGGGGGGCATTACCCTAGACTGTACTTTTTTATTATGTCCTCCTCCCACATTGCCCACTCATGGAGAAAATTCATATTTTTTTTATCGTTTTTAGTGTAAAAACCAATTCACATCTTTTATTTTCAATTGCCAAATTTAAGACTTCTTTAATGGATGGGATTTTTGTAGATTTCCCATATTTGGGTATTAAAGAGTTGGCTGCAATTAATACATGTTTTAATATAATCGATTTGTGTTTGGGTAAATTTGGGGGAGGGTTTTTTAAATAAACTATTTTCAGGGGTTAGGATTATAATTGAATCTGTAATTGTGTTTATTTTTTTTTAAATTTGTTTGCAGTGTGGGTAGTTACAAGCAAGTTTGTGTTGCCACAACAGCATCAACAGACATATATAATTGTACATAGTAGTACACGTCATGGCAAGGAGATACTTTGCACTATTTTTTGGTTAAGGTAAGGTTAAACAGGATGGAGTAGCTTTAGGTAACATTATGAATCGAATTCCAATATTGTTTTATTAAAGGGTACGTCCAAAAAACATGGCCTAAGGACCCCACTTGTCCGCAATGCCTCCAACATTTGTTTGAATGTAATAATTTGAATTTGTGTAATTTTGAGGGGGGTTAGGTACCATCTGAATAATAATTTATAATGGGATTCATAATGAGAGACGCACTGTGTAGTACCTTTCAATGATAAAATAAAACCATTCCAATCATCCAGATCAAAGGCCAGGCCTAAGTCCCGCTCCCAATGTAGCATGAAGTCTGATTTCTCATAGTTCTTGTTTTCAAAATTCGTGTAAAAAATAGATATGGTATGTTTCCTTCCCGGACCTGAATTTTTTTTTTTTCTATAGGTGGGAATACTATTGATCTCTTATTCAAATCAAAATGTAAAATTTTAAACTCATCCAATCAATCAATTTTTTTGTGAATTGGGGTGTCCGAATTATCTAAATTATTACTTTCTTTTAATTGGTTAAAGGGTATGAATTTGTTATTTTTTTTTATAAGATTATCAATATGTTTAATCGAATGATAAGCTCGTAGTTCTGTCGGATTTCTTTCCTGTACTTTTACTGGGAACAATGAAAACTTTCCATAAACATTTATTTAATATAAAAAGGGTAAAACAACAATAAATGAGACAATTTCGAAATGTTACAAATGTTACAAGAATAACAGGTTTTTATGATGACCCTGCTCAAACGAGCTTAAAGTCTAGACTAGGTTCAACCTTTACTAAGCTTATTAATAATGTCATTTAGATAGCTCCAACGTATTCTGCAGTGTGTTACAATATTACAATATTATAAAGCGGGAAAGGTAACAATAAATATTCTGAAGAGATGGGTTTTAAGGGACTTCTTAAATGTTTGAAGATTAGGGGGAGAGTCTAATGGGAGTAAGCAGGCTATTCCAAAGCAGCAGACTGCCCGCGATAAGAAGAAGGTCTTCCGCAGAACGGCGCAACCAAGAAGAGGCGTACCTATGAATTAGTGAAGAAATGTAGTAGAGAGTAGCGTTGTTTTAAGCTTTATAAATAAAGATTAATATTTTGAATTGAATCCTGTAGGGTACAGGAAGCCATTGTAAGGCCTGACGCATTTGAGAGAGCTGAAATTGGGAGAGAGGGGCACTTTAATGTTATGGGTGTGAGTTGGGTCGTGGTCAAAGGGAAATCTTAGGTGACTTACTAATAATTAATGTAACTAAAATGTAATTTAGAACAGGAACAATGTATCTTATTTAAACAGACTGATTTCTAAACATATGTATCGTAGTTTAAAGACACATTACTGTGAGGATTACTGCTGTGAAGCTCTAGCATAAATTCAGGTACACCAGGGACATTGAGATCATACTAAAAAGGGACATTAGGATAGAAACGAAGGACTTATGGATTTTGATCCAAAATAGGGACACTAGGAAGTTATGGAGAGGGAGGTGTTTAGTGTCAGTCAGGGTTTTTCACTAAGGTGATAATTTGTAGGAATTGAATTTTAAAAGGGCACTATCGACACCCAGAACACTTAACTTAAATTAAGTAATCTGGATGCCATGCCTCCCCTACAATTGTTAACCCTGCAAGTAAAAACATTAACTGCAATGTTTTCATTGAAGGGTTAAAATGCCTCTGGTGGTTATCACTCAGATAGCTACTAGAGGCTCTGAAATAGCAGAATAAACCTCTTTTAATCAGATGGTCACATAGTGACCATCTGATTGGCGCAGCATGGAGTTTTGCTGCGCATGTGCATTAGCCTTTCAATGCTTTCATATAGGAAGTAAAAGGTAAGTAAAAGGTGTTTTTCTCCGTGCAGGTGGGTCCATTAACCTAACTGGCCACCAGGGCACTAGCGTTAGACATATTCTTTGTATTCCTAATGCTATAGTGTTCCTTTAAATCCAAAATTGCAGAATTTAGAGAAAAATCAATAAAGTCAGCTGTGATCTGGTTTAATAATTTTGGATTTTATTGGAAATTAAATTTTAATTGTTGACAATTGTCACCTTTATAAATAGCCCTGAGTGATGTCAGCTGTAAATGTTTGCGTGGGGAGTTTATGTGATGGTTACTCAGGGGGTCCGTTCGCGAAACATGCATATAAGAACAGTTTGTGACTTGGAAGGTCTGAAGAATCTTGGGAGTTTTTTTTGTGTCAATCTTTATTTTTGTGTGCTTAATGTTACAAACAAGCATGTATTGCCACAGCAGAGACATGCCAATGAGAACAATGTAAAATAAACATCATCATAGCATTTGAGAGATCAGCACAATTTTTTAAATAGAAAAAACATGCTCAGGTAGACTACATCGAAGGATAGATACTACACGAGCTGAACTGATATATCTATGCTAAATGAGGATAGTGAATACGCCAATATAAGTTACAGGAAAATCAGATGTAGGTCATAGCAGAGTGAATGAACTAATTAGAATAGCGAAGTATACAAAGACCTGAGGACATCAGGTGGCATTAAAGGCCACTGGACGTCAGGGCACTCTAGCTATAGTACGATAGTGCTCAGTAATTGAAAATGTTTAAATCAAAATTATTGAAATCAAAATGGATTAAAGATGTGCTAGCTTAGAATTAAGAGTTGCATATTGTGCATAGCTCGTTACACATCATCTCCCACGATCAATGTGGTTTCCAGGCTGCAGGCCTAGTTACAAGATCAGCCAATCCCCAATGGAGGTAGAGGTTGTTCAGGTTTCGGGAAGTCCAGGTGAGTAAAAGCCAGAACGCGGCAAGCCAGGGCTCTCCTCCCGTCCCAGGCCTGTGTGAGGACCAGCATCTCCAGTTCGTGACTCTGGGACTAAGTCCTTGCCCTTTTCTGGGGTATACGGAGGGTCCAGGTGGTGAGCGCCGTTTACGGCGGATGACCCTCCATCTGTCTGGCGATGCAAGAAGGGATTATCTCGGGGGTCTCTCGGCCCCGGCAGGCGGTTAGCAGGGTAAGTAGTCACTTGCATGGGTAGGTCGCCCAGAGGGGTCCCATTCTGCCCCACCAGCTCACCTCTCCCGGTATCTCCCCGCCGTTCAGCTTGTGCACGCTCTTGAATTTTTAGCCAGAAGGCTCTAAACACCTCATCCAGGCACAAAAGGGTGTATTCCAAGGAGCTGCAGTGAGGCATCTGGTGTGGGTGCAGGACCTACCGGTCAGGGGAAATGGCAGCCGCCATCTTGAGCACACAGCACAGGAGATGTGTTGTCAATGCACAAAGTAAAGCTCAATGTGCAAGCAGGTATAACAGCCCCAAAGTGTCCAGTGGAGACCAGGATAACTCCCGCCGGTCCAGGTGGACAGGGTAGGGGTGAGGGGGACTTAAGAGCAAAGAGATCTGCCGCCTCTCCTCAGCTCTGTCCTGAGTAGGCCTCAGCAGAAGGTCATGGGTGCCAAGTGGGGTAAAGTCACGATTAAAGCCTCTGAGTGGTCTCCCAGGTTCCCCCAAATAAGGTGGTGTCTAGCTGCGAGAATAATTGCTTATTGAATGGGGGTAACACATCAAAATCAAATAAATTTGCAGGAGCTCAGGCAACACATCTGCTATGCTAGGAGACTCAAATCTTGGGAATTTTTAGCCTTTTTTAAAAAAATACATTCAAGCTCCCATACTATTTAAACCAACTTTGTCAAGTCACAGGTTTTAATAAAGATCAGTTCATTATTAACTCTCACGCTGTAATCACATTTTATGACATTCTTAAACCGACACTGTCACTGTCTGGGGACTTTGCATAATTTGCAAAGATCCCAGACAGATTTTTTTTTTCTTTTCAGTTTGAGTGTTTTGGTCTAATATTTGCAATTCCCAGCAATTTAACATTTAGTGAATAATCCTGCAAGTCATTCCACATTGTTGTCAGAGTGCTTGATTACAATGCAGGATTTTAAGGAACACAGTCTTATCACTACAAATGAAATATTTTAGCATATTGATTACCATACTTGTACTTTGCACATAAATGGTTTAACTGCATCATGCTGTTTTCAACTGTATTTAAATTACGTAGGAATGTAAGAAGGTCTCTTGTCTTCTTCCTTATATTTTTTTGTTTTGTTATATCAGCTGTGTACAATGTTTTTGCATTCAATATCATGTGCGTGCAGGGAGTGATTGCCATGTTGCTACTTTCACATTACCCTCCCACCCCCAATCCTGTCACACTCACATTAACCATCCTAATTCTGTTGCACTTCATTAACACTCCAATCCAGTCACAATCACATTAGACCCCTAATACTGTCTTACTCACCCCCCTCGCTCTGCCACACTCACACTCTCTCATTTACCCTCTGCATTCCTGTCATATTCACGGGTGGGGGATAATAAATAAAGTGAATAGGGGGCATAGGGACCCCCCAGCCCCCGCCCATTGATGGCAGATGTGGTCTCTAGAAGTAATAATAGGGGGGGCACAGTGTCCATCAGCCACCAGCCCATTGATGGCAGGTGGGGCCCTAAAGATTAATGAAGAGTGGATCTATTGTCCCAACCAACACCACCCATTGGGGCCTCTAAATTATAAGGGGATGGACCTATTGAACCCCCAGATTCACCCAGTGTCGGCATGTGGGGCCCTAAATAATAAGGGAGTGACAGAAGACCTCACGCCTGCATTTATTTTATTCTTTTTTTAGAATCTGCCATTCTAAACAGGTGCAGGAACCAACTCTTGTGTTAAACAGTTGGAAAATGCTTTAACCTCTGAAAGTAGGACGGAGCTCGGAAGCTTCTGCCCCCAAAGCTATTGAAATGAGCTGAAGTTGGTACGTGAGTGGGAGTGTTACTTCAAAGTCGCGATAGCTAAACTGGAAACATACATCAATATGATTTTTTTTTTTATTTCTTCAGTTTGAGTGTTTTGGCCTAATATTTGCAATTTCAAAGGATTTACTATAGTGAATGAACTTACATTGTTGCATTTCAAGTACCACAGCCTTATCACAACACATGAGATATTTTAGCATATTGATTACCATACTTGAATGCAAATCCTTGTTTTGCACATAAATGTTTAAACTGCATAATGCTGGTTTAAACTGTATTTCAATGAAGTAGGAATCTAAGAGGTTCTTTTGTCTTTCTTTGTTGTTTTGTTTAGTTTTTTTCGTTTTTTATCAGCTTTTGCATTGTGTATCATTTGCATGCAGAGAGTGGTTGCCATGTTGCTATTTTCACAATGCTGGAGATGGGTACATGTCCTAGAAGTATATAAAACCTTCCACTTTCTTGGATGCTTATTACTTTTGCAACCCCCGACTGTTGGAATGGTTGATCAGAATTTTTTATTGTTTATTTTATGATTTTAATTTTTAGTTGTTTTTTTTCTGCAATCATTAATGTATAGTCCTGTGGGGGACGATATCATCCACATATTAGTGTAATCGAGGTTAAATCCTCCTTCGGGCACCTACACATTGTGTTGCGAGTAGGGGCATGTCTACTTATCAGCAAGTCGCCAGCTATTACTGCCCAGTTGCTACTCCAAAAAAAGGCACAGGTCTGCCATGCCCCTGTGGTGGGGCAACTAATAAATTAATTAATATGGGACTATTAAAATAAACAATGGGACCTAGTGTTTGCAAAGTTGCATTTGAACAAACCACAAGACTTCTGGAATAATGTTCTTTGGACAGACGTGACCAAAGTGGAGATGTCTGGCCATAGTGCACAGCATACCAGCACTGGACCTGTAATCCTTGCAATCATTGAGTCGACCATGAATTCCTCTGTATACCAAAGTATTCCAGTCAAGTGTGAGGCCTTTTGTCTGACAGCAAAAGCCGGGACAAAACTGGGCCATGCATCACGACAGTGATCTCAAGCAAACTAGCAAATCTACAGAATGCCTAAAAATGAAAATAATCAAGGTGAACCCAGTTAAAGTCCAGACCTCAACCCAATTGAATTGCTGTGGTAGGATCTTAAGATAGTTGTGTGTAAACAAATGCCAGCAAACCTCAATGAACCCAAGCAACATTGTAAAGAAAAGTGTGCAAAAATTCCTCCACAACGATGTGAGAGACTGATAAAGTCATACAGAAAATGATTACATCAAGTTATTGCTGCTAAAGTTGATTTTAAATGCTATTGGATCATAAGGTTTACTTAGGCTTTTCCGTTTTGGCTTCATTTTTGTTAAATAAATCATGACAGTGTAATATGTGTTGTTCATCTGAGTTTGTATTTATTTTTTAAGACGTGCCAAGGAACAGATGATGGTTATGTCCTGATACGTAGTCTAGTGAGAAAATGTTGCTTTTATATATGGTAGCACTGTGATAAGATTAAACCTTGCTGGACAAACATCATACAGCTTATTAATCTAAATCACACAAACTACAGTAATAACATACATATTGGTAGTTGTTTTCCATCACACCATGAGATCAATAAACGCAAATCGCTGATATAGAAACATAGAATGTGACGGCAGATAAGAACCATTCGGCCCATCTAGTCTGCCCAATTTTCTAAATACTTTCATTAGTCCCTAGCATTATCTTATAGTTAGGATAGCCTTATGCCTATCCCACGCATGCTTAAACTCCTTTACTGTGTTAACCTCTACCACTTCAGCTGGAAGGCTATTCCATGCATCCACTACCCTCTCAGTAAAGTAATACTTCCTGATATTATTTTTAAACCTTTGTCCCTCTGATTTAAGACTATGTCCTCTTGTTGTGGTAGTTTTTCTTCTTTTAAATATCCTCCTTTACTGTGTTGATTCCCTTTATATATTTAAATGTTTCTATCATATCCCCCCTGTCTCGTCTTTCCTCCAAGCTATACATGTTAAGATCCTTTAACCTTTCCTGGTAAGTTTTATCCCGCAATCCATGAACCAGTTTAGTAGCCCTTCTCTGAACCCTCTCTAAGGTATCAATATCCTTCTGAAGATCCGGTCTCCAGTACTGTGTACAATACTCCAAGTGAGGTCTCACAATATGTTATCTTTTTTTATTTTTTTTTTATTATAATTCTTTATTTTAACATTGTCATAACATACAGCTGGTATTCAATACTTAGGCTTGTGCAAAAGCCGGGTTGCATAAAGTACATTGAGATTGTATGGGAACAAAAAGAAGATGGTTATTTGGTTACATGTACATTCGATTCTTGGTGTGTCCGTTGTCGTGATTGCTTATGTTTTTCATGTTTCTGTTGTCTGTCAATGGTTTTTGTTATATGGTTGTCTATCTTCGTCGTTATATGGTCGTGTGATCCTGATCTGAGAGACGACTTGTAGGATGGTACCCCTAAAAGTCAGGGTGGTCCTGGGTCACTCTTATCTTGTCAAGTGGATTGTGGATTGTGGTCTAGAATGTGTGTTAGTGATGGGCGATCATCTCGTCCCTTCAGTGGTAGCTTGGTGTCTGTGTAGCGTTGATGGATAACATCCCTTGGTCATAAGGGGCTTGGTATTATGGGGTGGTGTCGTTGCGTTTGGTTTATAGCTGTTGACCCTTGCTCGGTGTGTTGGGGGTGTGTGGTGTCTCTGCTTTTGTCCCCTTATGTCGTGGGGGCTTCACAATATGTTATCTTTTAAACGCTGTTATAACTGTCATACCAGTTCTCTGGAAACGCACATACTCACCTACTATAAGCGATTGGATACAGAGAGTTGAACATTTTTAGGTTGATGGAGGAATTTATTAATGTCTAAATCCACTAACCCACAGAGATATATAGACATATGGTGACCATTCAAAGAATATCTCTGCTCAAGAGCGGACGCATTGTAAATACCTTGGGTCAAATTATCAGTCTCTTCTATATTACTCAGGCAGATACACATTCCCCTAAGAGTTCAGATCACTGACATATGCCACTATAATTGAATTAAAATAATGTAAACATAAAAAAAAACAATGGGGTGACACCAGGGCATTTTGTCTCTAGACAATGCTCTGTTGATGCATTGTACTTGAAGGGATCTGGTGGATGTCCTATAGATGGATCCTTGTTGTTGTAGAGTGTGTCCTTTAATTTTACAAAAAATGTGGATTTCAATAGAAATGCAATTTTCTAAAATAACCTTGTTATGCCCCCCTGGCTTTCAAACAGACCCTGTTACTTTCTGGCAGTTTAGTACGGAGGATCTAAACTTAAGAGGCAGGCAAATGCACAGAACAACTGCCTTGCAAAGACTTCTCATTGAACTACATTTGTCTGGGCTGGGAGAGAAGGGGACGGCTTGCCAAGGCTGCAGACAAGAGATCTGTAGATCCTGCCAGCTGTTTTCAGACATATCCCCAATGAAAAATGCATGATTAAATACATACATGTTTCCCTGTAGGTATATCCACTAACTGAACTGTGATTTTATTTTTGTATTTGGGCAGTAGACTGTCTCTTTAAACATTTATATATTAGAGTCTGTTGGGACTTTGTTGATAAATGGTAACTCCAGACTAGATTGAGAGTACAGGAACACTGTATACTGGGTGAAGTACAGGAACAGTACAGAAGAATGTTGGCAATTAATTCTTCTGTGTGACACATATCCTCTTACTTTTCATGCAATTCTCGTGGTCTTTCTAACACGCTATGCTTTGTTAACAGTTTATTCTTCTTAGTGTTCTGGTTTCAGCTTTCTCTTCAACTGTCCTTTTTACATGCAGCTTCTTCGTCTTTCATTTGCTACCTACACATATATGCAATCAATATTAATTATACAGAGCACTCTCACAGTATACTGTTGATGGACATCTCTATTTTGAGACTGCTTTTCTTACAATGCTTAAAAGTATCGACTAATTCGTGACCTTAGGCAGAACAAAACCCAAAAGAATGGTCCAGCACTATTACAATGAATTGTAAAATCCTTTATTGGTCCTCCTATGGTTCACAGACTGCCCATTACATATTTGCAATGCATCTTGTCTAGGTTCTTTTTTTCACGCTTTTTAAATTTCAGTTGCTTCCCTCCCCCCCCCCCTTCCCCACCCCCTCATTTCGTAAGCATATATAATAATTGCAAATTGTATAATGTTCCCATTTATTATAATCTATTCTGACTTGAGATATATCACTGACACATTTCTTCCAAGATACTCAGGGCATAATCTTAAAGTGATTTTATTAGCAGAGTTATGGGCATTTTTTTATAGGGTTTGGTATATCATTAAGTGTTTTATTTTTATTTTACTTATTTGTTTTGTAATATTTTAAAATAATTTAAATAAAGTTCAAGAATGGGAACTAGCATTACTTTCAGGATCCACCTTGCATACACCTCAGTATTGGGAATTCTGAAAGGGGAACATGAAGGGGTTGTGACTGTGCATATCAGTGACCTACAGGGCATCACTGATGACATTGTGGGGAGCAGACCATGCTAATGATCTTATTAGTCTTGTTAGGTTTCTATACCACCTAAATTCTGTATATCATATGAAAAAATGTTTTTGTAAATTCTAAACTAATCTTTTACTGTAAAACATGAGTCGGCTACCTACGGCCCATGGGCCTTATAAGGCCCATCCCCTGCAATATTGCGGACTGCAAATTCCCATAGATCTGGCGTAAGGCTACAAGCCTATGGCGGCCCCAAGAAGGACGTTCTATGAGCAAAGTAGATGCAGAAGGCAGGGCTGCCAGCTGTGAATAGTTGTAGCGATGGCTGGAAGAAGCCTGAAGTAAGAGAAGCAGACAGGTTGCCATGCAGACCCTATGCTGCCCATGAAGGCAGGTTAATAGGACTATGTAGTGTGTGTGTGTGAGTATCTGAATGGGTCAATGTGTGTGGGTACAGTGTGTGTTAGGGAGGGACACCATGTATCAGTGTGTGGGTGTGCCACTGAGTGTAAAGCTACCCCTCACTTACCGAGTGGGTTCCGTTCTTACGACCTGGTCGTAAAACAAATTGGTCGGTAAGTAAGGATGCGCTACAGAGTATGCGCACTAGTGCAGGTCTATGTTTGGGGAAATTTCCCCGAATATAGACAAGCTCAGCAGAGCAGGGAATCCCTCAAATCTATGTTCGGGAAACGTTCCCCGAACATAAATTGGATGGATTCCCTGCTCTGGCGCGCTTGTCTATGTTCGGGGAAATTTACCCGACCGTAAACATACGCACCAGAGCAAGGAATCTCTCTAATCTATGTTCGGGGAAAATTCCCTGAACATAGACCAGCTCTCTAACGTGGGGAATCCCTTGAATTCCCACGCTAGAGAGCTGGTCGTAAGTGTGAGCCGTTGTAAATATATAGGACCACCTATATATGTTGATGGAGGGGTGACGTATAGGGCCAGATTAAGAGCCCAGAGGGCCTGGTGCTGACAATTATGATGGGGCCTAATTACAGAATCTTATCGACCTAAAACAGTCATACCTCCCAAGCATCATGTATCTGATGGAGATGGTGTTGGAGGGAAACTCAAAGGGTGCAGCTATAAGAATACACATACTCTATGCTAATCTCTCTCTAATTTATGCTTTCATCTTTCAAGTAAATCGATACCCCCTAACAGCAGTGTCCAGTGAAGCAGGAAGTCAATGGGCGGGATAAAAGGGTGGGCCACTGACGCTAATCACGTGATCAGAACTGCCAAAAGGGGCGAACATGCCCAAAAAGGGGGCATGTCTGTCCAAAGAATTGGACGCCCAGTCCCCTAGTCTTCCAGTGTCTCAGTGTCCTCATTTCTCCCCGTGACCCCATGTCTCAGTGTTTCCCTTGTCACTAGGATACTAGGGGACACTGAGAGACATGTGGACACAGTGAGAAATGGGGACACTGAGACACCAGGGGACACTGGGAGACATGGGGGCACTTGTGGATACAGACATGGGGACATTGGGAGACATGGAGACACTGGGAGACATGGGGACACAGACACTGGGCGACATGGGGACACAGACACTGGGAGATTAGGGGACACTGGGAGACATGTGGACACTAAGACACTAGGGACACTGAGACACTAGGGACACTGGCTGGGAGGCATGGGGACACTGTGAGACATGGAGGCACTTGTGAACCCAGACATGGGGACACTGGGAGACATGGGGACACTGGGAGACATGGGGACACTGGGAGACATGGGGACACTGAAAAGATTGGGGGCACTCGGAGACATGGGGACACTGAGACACTAGGGACACTGGGAGAAAGATATTTGGGGACACTGAGACACTAGGGACACTGGGAGAAAGATATTTGGGGACACTGAGAGACATGGGGACACATACACTGGGAGACTAGAAGACACTGGGTGCCGTGGAGACACTAAGACACTAGGGACATTGGCTGGGAGACATGAGGACACTGGGAGACATGGGGACACTGAAACATTTTGGGACACTGGGAGACACGGGGACACTGAGACACTAGGGACACTGGCTGGGAGATATAGGGACACTGGGAGACATTGGGACACTGGCTGGGAGACATGTGGACACTGGGAGACAGATATTTGGGAACACTGGGACACATGGGGACAATGAGACTCTAGGGACACTGAGAGATATGGGGACACAGACACTGGGAGACTAGAGGACACTGGGAGCCGTGGGGACACTGAGACACTGGCTGGGAGACATGGGGACACAGGGAGACATGGAGACACTGTGTCCCTAGTGTCTCTCAATGTCCCCTAGTGTCTGTGTCCCCAAGTGTCTCAGGGTCCCCTAGTGTCTCAGTGTCCCCATGTTTCCCTGCTGCCTTCCCCCCCATCCTTCACTTCCCTGAGCTGTTGTCTGTCTGCAGACTGGGAGCTGCTGTCTGAACTCTCTGTGCTGTGTAGCTGCTCCCCCACAGATCAGTGAGTAGAGAGAGGCAGGGAGGGATATGATGTAACTTCCTATCCCTGCCTCTCTCCACACACAGTGACCCCTACTGGCTGGTGCTGGTATTGCAGAGTTATCTCCATTTATACTGAGAAAAATATCTGCATTTGTATTGCCGGTATTACTGCAATACCAGCATGGTGTCACGACTACTAGTGTGGTCCAGCACGCAGAAACTATGTAAACATATACATAGACAAGAAAAGGAAAATAAAAAGGACAGAGCGTAAACCGGACCTTAGAATGGCCGGACTAATACGCTAGAGACAGAGAATGGTCAAAGGGAAAGCTGAGGTCAAGGAAGCCAGAAAATACACAATACCGTTTACACAAGCCAAGTCAGGGGAACCAGAATTCAGAATAACCAGGGAAAAGCCAAGATCAGGATACCAGGTAAGCTCGTGCTGTCGGCGAGGCTGTGCCGGTCGGGCACAACCTCGCCACGCAGCGGGCCGGCAACCGTGACACACGGCCAGGCAGCCCCAAATACCGACTGTGCTGGTAAAATACCAGTCAGGTGGCAAACCCAAGAGTAGTGTGTAAAAAATCAAAAAGTAAATTTTTTTATTTTTTTTAAATGGGCCTATTCCATGAGTCTGGGCCTGGAGCTGCAGCTCCATCAGCCCCTATGATAATCCGGCACTGGTGACGTACCTTTCACGGTCGCAGGGGTCACAGCAGCGACCGGGCCCGTCACTCCAGTGGTCCCGCAGTTGCCAGGTTATGCTGCACCCCTCCTACCGTTGTGTGTAGAGTGGTCGAGCGGTCTGACAGGAAGTGCTTACTTAGAGAGCAATTCCTATCAGTCCTGGTACCATGGTCGGGCCAGGTGAGCAGATGCACAAGGGAGGGGGTAGAGAATGACACACATAGAGGGACTGGGTGGAGAGAATGACACACAAGGAAAGGCTGGGGCAAGAGAATGACACACATGGAGGGGTGGGAATGAGACACATGGAGTGGCTCGGGGGGAAATGAGACACATGGAGGAGCTGGGGGGGGAAATGATACACATGGAGCGGCTGGGGGGAAATGAGACACATGGAGGCGCTAAGGAGGAATGAGTCACATGGAGCGGGTAGGGAGGAATGAGACACATGAAGGGGGGTGGAATGAGACACATGGAGAAGCAGGGGTGAGGGATGAGACACATGGGGTAGGGCCATAAGGCAATATTTGAACCAGTGCCCAGTAATTTCTAGTTATACCTCTGAGTTTGAGTGTGTGTCTGTATGGGTTACTGGGTGTGTGTGAGTGTTTGTCTGCATTCGTCAGTGTGTATGGGCCACTGATTGTGTCTGCAGGGGCCACTGTGTATATGTGTGAGTGTGAGTGTATATCTCCTTAGGTTAGTCTGTGTATATAGATCATTGAATGTTTGTGTGCGTGGGCATTCACTAAGCTATTGTGTTAATTGGTCAGTGTGTCTGCCAGTCTGTCTTAGAATAAATAATGGTCCAGGCACTCAGGGTAGAAGCAAAAACAGCAATGTTTTGACCCAACCGGGTCTTTATCAAGCTACTGGTTAGTCTATCTTGGTCACTGAGTGTGTGTGCCTATGTGTCTGCATAGTTCAGTGTCTGTATGTATGGGTCACATTGAGTGTGAATGTGCTTGGGTGGATGGGTCTTTGAGTGCATGTGAGTGATTATGTGTCTGCATGAGTCACTGTTAATTTGTGTACGCACATGGTTAAATGAAAAAGACGTTTATTTCAATAAACTAAAACTTACTTAAGTTATAAGATTTCTGAGAGTATTATAGTCTCAGACAATGAGGGAGCTAGGTACTTATTGTTCTGTTCCTGAACAGCTAACTCACTGCCCTAGGGCATGCCAGAAGCCCCAAATATAACTTCACCCTGGCATTTGTATCACTACAAGGTGCACATGGGAGCAGTGCAGGAAGAGTACCCATCTGCAACCATTGTAACCCAGGGAGAGGATCCACTCCAATGTGTATGTTTGCATGAGAGTGTTTAACAATTTAGGTCTCTAATTTGGAATCCTTAAATTGTTACTCCAACATCTATGACCACTTCTGCTTTTTGGCCATGGAAGAAGGAATCGGGATGTGTAGTATTATTTGCACTTGTGTGCGCGGGGCTAGTTATAGCCCTGGCACACGGGACTTTGGCAGAACCTACAAGGGGAATCTTGTGTCTCCCCTCCTTCCTTCAATGCAGCCCTCCCCACCTTCCTATACCCTGTAGTAACTTTTTTTAACCCCTTAAGGACCAAACTTCTGAAATAAAAGGGAATCATGAAATGTCACACATGTCATGTGTCCTTAAGGGGTTAAAGGTCCCACCTTTCCTCCCACCTTGTTACTCTCCCCACTCCCTCCCCCCTGCCCTTGCTGGCTCAGAGTGCACACATGAATACTTAGCTGGCTAAACGGTTCAATCATAGGCTTCCCTATGAGAATCCTTTGATTGGGTCTCACCGTGGCTCCAGTGACGACAAGAGGCGGTGTGCTGAGAAGTCCCAGGAGCTTCGCTTGACTCTGGATTTCAGGTGTGATAAACTTATTTCTTGACTTTTGTCAGTGTTTTTTTTTGGGGGGGGAACCTGAAAAATAATGCCCAATAGGGTATTTTTCTTTAAAAAAAATATGTAAGAAGGGTTAGAGTAGCCATTTAAATATGGCAATTCCACGTGAGGATACCAAATTAGATGGCTATCCACCAACCTGCTTAAAGATCAAAATTAAGTCAAGGGCTGTTTAGTAGCTTGTTCCCCAGTTTGGTATCCTTTAAATATTGCAATACCGCATAAGTATAGCAAATTAGGGAGCCATCTGCTATTATTATCTTTTTTTTTTTTACGATATGGATAATGGCAGCCCTCCATCAATTTACAGACATGGCATCCTCCCCTCATGCGGGAAAAAAAGGTTTTCAAACCCAGCCTTAAAGTTTAAAGTTTTACTGTTTTGCTTTAAGTAGTGTGAACAGACTAGTATCTTTAGAGATACAGAACAATGTACATGTATCAGCACTTGACAGATGACTAGGCTGAGGGCATCAATTGACAGAATCTGTATGGGGCGCAGCAAATCAGAAGCAGCTGTCATCATTTTTTCTTTAGTTCTAAGTAGAAGAGCACTGTAGTGTTTACGTTTGTAATCCTAGCTCTATAGTGTTCCTTTAAGCATGGAGAATCCTTATATGGGATACAATTTCATTTAGTTTAAATAGTTTGTGCTGTTTTTTTCTAGGGTCAGACTTACTTCTCAGATGCCAGCAGGGACAGGTCCAAACAGGCTGAGCATCATGAGAAATGCAGTTTACTGACATCTAAGTAAAATCAGTCCCTAGAACAGTGATGGCGAACCTTTTTGAGCCCGAGTGCCCAAACCACAATACATGCCAACTTTTTTTTCCTTAAAGTGCCAACACGGCAATTAAACCTCAATACTGAGGTTTAAGTTTAGAAAAACAACTCGTACTGTTGTCCGAACTAATTAACAACTTTTGTTTTAAAAGAACACAACAACGGAGAGTTCAATGATACAAATTTTAAATAATGATATAAACAGATAAAATTAAGCTTACAGGGGTGCTGTGTGGCAGGGTAGGGGTACTCTGTGTGGGGGGTAGGGGGTGTGTGGGGTAAGGTGTACTGTGTGGGGGTAGGGTACTCTGTGTGGGGGGTAGGGGTACTGTGGGGGTAGGGGTGCTGTGTGTGTGGGGCTGGGGTAAGGGTGTTTAAAAAAAAAAGTATGCTAAATCAGTATCCCCCCCTCCCTCCTTCTTACCTTAAATGAAGGAGGGGGGGCACACAGCCATCCCTGGTGGTCCGGTGGTGGCAAGCACTGCTTCCATGTCGGGAGGCAGCGGGAGGGATCTGTGAAGCAGCTCCCCTTTCCTCCCGCGCGATGCTGTGTGGAGCGTTGCCATGGTAACGCGCGGCAACGCTCCACACAGATTGCTTGCGGGAGGACAGAGGAGCTGCTTCACAGATTCCTCCCCCTGCCTCCCGACACAGAAGCAGAGTAGGTGCCTGCCGTTTTGGGCAGGCAGGTGCCTACTCTGCATTGATGGCGAATCAATGGCCGAGTGCCCACAGAAAGGGCCCGGCGTGCCACCTGTGGCACGCGTGCCATAGGTTCGCCATCACTGCCCTAGAATATAAAAATATAAAAAGCAGTACAGCAATGGTGATTCAGATGCCCATGGGCTAAGTGTCCATGATGCTCATTCAGAGTAAATACTCTCTCAGCACTATTGGACAAGTAATTTAAAGGGCTATTCCAATCCTTTTAAATGCATTAAAAAATTGGTTTTTTTTTAAATCCTATTGGGAGGGGTGACCTGACACTTTAAGCCCGACTACTCAAAGATCCGGTATTACATTCTGTTCTATTTTCTTACACTTTGACCGAAGCTCTGCATGTTAGGGTAGCATAACCATGACAAAAATGTAAAGTTCACTTTGGGTTCAGTTTAGATTTCAAGCCATTCCCCTGGAATAACCGTGCAAGCTTGTTGTAGTTCTGTATAGAACCTTGCATTTTACTTCCTAGCAACATTTATTAAAGTCTCAAAGTGAGGTCCAAGATCTGCCAAATACACATGCTGTGCAAATGTGAAGGCAGAAACAAGCGCTCCCAGATCCCCACAGGCATTCGAGTCACTTGTGTCACTCTGTTGCCCAGCGACTCTAAAACACAACACAGTTAAACCTTTAGTGCAATCAAAAGCTCCTGGTATGGAAGAACTTTAAATTAGTATAAATATAAGCCACTATAAATTAACATTGTCTGTTCCATATTTTATGTTTCCATATGAAACAAATAGTATCTGATTCACAAATAACTTTAAAATACCATCAGATAAGGTAAAGAGGAAGTTTATTTCCAGCAGTGACCATTGCGAGGCACTAGAAAAAAGGAAGTATTATGTAGATTGATTCTATATTTTTAATCTCAATATATAGCAGTTAGATCACTGTCAATATCCTCAGTTTGGAAAGTGTTTTACCAGCAACAATGTATTGAGATTTCTCGTACTGTAAATTATATCCTGGAATGAGAAAACACAATTTTACAAGGATGCACATTTACAATCCACAAAACATAGACAACCATTAGCAGTTGTTACAGGCTTGGCTTGATTGGAGATATACAAGAAGGGAGACAATTTGAAAGACTGCAGAATTGTGGAAGATTTAAAGTCTCTTGGTAGGTTATTCAATTTTTGCAGTGATCCCTATGATTTTGTTGCACGGCCTGCTTTGTTTTTGTATCAGGGAAAATTTTTATTTGTATTGGAAAATTCCAGTTGCATATTTAATATTTATCACTACGTGTATAGATGCCGGTGTGCTATTAATAGGGCTTTTTCCAGAGCTTTTAAAGGTATACTATAATGCCAGGAATACAAAGCTGCTTTCCTGACACTCACTCCCCCCCGTCTCCCCGCTCCCTTGTGCCTCCCCCCCAGTAAATAAAAGGTTAAAAACCCTTTATTTACTTACCTGATCTCAGCATCGTTGTCCCTCAGCACTGGGGCGACACTCTGCCCCCTCCGACGTGCTATGACGAGTGGGCACTAATGCGCGTGTGCGCAAATGCCTCACACGCATTAGACCTCCCTATAGGAAAGCATTGAATCAATGACGTCCACCGTCAGATACTGGACCAAAGGTCTGTTTCGATTAAGGAAGCCCTTTAGTGGCTGTTTGGTAGACAGCCACTGTGGGTAGACTTAGTGCTGCTATGTAAACATTGCAGTTTCTCTGGAACTGCAATGTTTAACATTGCAGCACTAGGTTTAAAAGGGACACTGCACCCATACCACTTTAATTAAATGAAGTGGTCTGGTTGCCTACAGTGTCCCTTTAAATGCCAATTATGCCATAATCAGATTGCTGAAATAATCCTATTAATCACAATCTTGCCAAAGGAAGCTAGCAACACTTTAACAAATTCATTGAAATCTAAGCAAACGCAACACCTGAGAGGTCTTGAAATTTTTTTTCAGTAATTTCAGTAACACATTAAAATAAGTGTTATTGCATGAACAGAATAGACATCGCAAACCTCTCCCCTGACTTGATGACATGTGCAAGCAATGTGCAAGCACCATAACACAACAGCATGCTTTATAGTTATAGAGATATTGGCTTCCTGTTTCAAAACATTTGTTGATTGGAGATGCCAAACCCTAGATCATAGACCCTCTAATTCAGTTCTTGCACGACTCATAGCGGAAAAGATTTCACCAGCGAGTATAGAGGTTAAGCCTTGGGCATTGGAGATGAAGATACATATAATCATTGGTAAAGCTAAAAGTTTTCAGGGACACTTTTGTAACAAATACAATAAGACTCCAATAACACCCACACAAGTTGGGTGCCTTTTTTTGATTGGGCTGCAGTTGGTTATCCTGTCTTATATTATTTTAAATGATTTGCTCCATAAGTCCACTGTTTCTTCCATTCCCTACTAAAATCTGTAGTGCTTTACCTTTCGACTCCAAAAATACTGCTGTATATTAATTTATTATGAGTTAAAGAAAAGCTTCAACCACAATAACCAACAAGTGAGCTGTCAGGAGTTCCCTGTCAGCCCTTATTGTAAATCGTAAAACTGTTTTAGTACACTTTGAAATCTTACCGCTCCCTGCCTCCACTACTTCTGACACAGAAGCTCTCTGTCTGACCTAATCCCATCTGAGGTCTGCCTCTGGACCTTGGTGAGGAAGATGCCGAGGTCTGCCTCTAGACCTTGGTGAGGAAGATGCCGAGGTCTGCCTCTGGACCTTGGTGAGGAAGATGCCGAGGTCTGCCTCTGGACCTTGGTGAGGAAGATGTTGAGGTCTGCCTCTGGACCTTGGTGAGGAAGATGTTGAGGTCTGCCTCTGGATCTCGGTGAGGAAGATGCTGAGGTCTGCTTCTGGACCTCGGTGAGGAAGATACTGAGGTCTCTTTCTGGACCTTGATGAGGAAGATGCTGAGGTCTGTCTCTGGACCTTGGTATATTCATGTGGTAAATAGCCCTTCACTGGTCATTCTGGACGGTTTTCAGTATGGAGAATATCATTCTGTTTTAGTAGGTGAATGCCTTGTTGTGAAGTAATAGCGACTGAATTGTTGCCATTTTTTGTTAATCAGCAGTTTAAAGGGACAATCCGAGCACCAATACTATTTTGATTTATTTGATTTTTGTTTTGGCCTCATTAATATGCTATAATTTTTGCATGCTCAAATCTTTATAGTTTTTTCATAAAATATATGTTTTGCAGAATGCTGTACCATGAGCCTGCCTCTTTAGCCACACCCCCTCACTCCAGAGAGTGCTAAACATACTAAAAACAATGCAGTTTTCCTAATACAATGTCACTCTATGTCCCTGCTTCTTATCTTATACAGAATTTTTGAATATAAAATTGAATATAAAATTATACATAACAATGCAGGCACTAGAAGAGGTTTAAAAGAACTGTTAAGTACTCTGAACCAATAAGCAATTAAATGGAAACTATAGTGCTATGAATACAACAATGTTTTCCTGGCACTATAGTTCCCTATAGGTTAAAAACCCTTTCTGTCATTTACCTGATTCCAGCGCCGATGTCCCATGACTCTCATTTAGGCTCCGCCTATGCTTCTCCCCTACTAACGTTAGCCCGCTGGGGTGGACCTGATGCGCATGCGCTGTGAGCGCCGGTGCTTGTATATAGGGTTTTGGGTGACGCTGGATGTTCTCATGCACAGTGTGAGGACGTCCAGTGACAGGTAGGCGACCAAAAGTCCCTCTAGAGGTCAGCCACTAGAGGTGGAGTTAACCCTCCAAGGCAATTATTGCAGTTTATCAAAAACTGCAATAATTACCATTGCAGGGTTAAGGGACCTGGGAAACTACACCCTGACCACCTCAATGAGATGAAGTAGTATGGATGAGTGCCTCTAGTGTTCCTTTAAATGCCTTACCAATACAAAAATAGGGGATAATACAAATCAGATGCCTAAATTATGGTGCAGCCTTATACATTAAATGTGCAAAATATTTATATTATGACACAGAAAGTTAAACAGTAGTGATGTCCCGAACAGTTCGCCGAACGGTTCGCGAACGGTTCGCGAACGGTTCGCCACGGACTCATCATTGAGTAAACTTTGACCCTGTACCTCACAGTCAGCAGACACATTCCAGCCAATCAGCAGCAGACCCTCCCTCCCAGACCCTCCCACCTCCTGGACAGCATCCATTTTGAAGCTGCATTCTTAGTGAGCTGTCCAGGAGGTGGAAGGGTCTGGGAGGGAGGGTCTGCTGCTGATTGGCTGGAATGTGTCTGCTGACTGTGAGGTACAGGGTCAAAGTTTACTCAATGATGAGTCTGTGGTGAACCGTTCGGCGAACCGTTCGGGACATCACTATTAAACAGACATTTGTTAGAAACATACATATTCTTCTAATTGGTTTGGCAGCAATTAGAGCTGTTGAAAGTCTATTGCGACACGTCTTCCCAGCTTTGGATATGTGGATCCTGTAATGTCTTGTATGAGGATAGTTGGTGAATAGCCAGTGGCGTACACATGACCCATTGGGCCCCGGTGCGAAAATTGATCCGTGGGCCCCCCCCCCCGCGCTTACTCGGCGCGGGTCGGGGCCGCAACACATGGCGGTGGGCACCTAGTCGCAGGGGTTGCAGGGCTGCGACCCCGCGACCGCAGTATGCACACACACTTAAAGGACCACTACAGACACCCAGATCACATCAGCTCAATGAAGTGGTCTGGGTGCCAGGTCCCTCTAGTTTTAACCCTGCAGCTGAAAACATAGCCGTTTCAGAGAAACGGCTATGTTTCACTGAGGGTTAATCCAGCCTCTGGTGGCTGTCTCATTGGCAGCTGCTAGAGGAGCTTCCGCGATTCTCACTGTGAAAATCACAGTGAGAAGACACTGAACGTCCATAGGAAAGTATTGAGTAATGCTTTCCTATGGGCGGTTTAAATGCGCGAGCGTGCCTCTTGTCGCGCATGTGCATTCGGAGCTGAGAGGCGGAGGGATCCCCAGCGCCAAGGGAGTCCGACACCGGAGAAAGGTAAATGCTGAAGACACACACACACATTCTCACGAACAGACGCATACACACTAGCTAACAGACACACACATTTACTGACATACATACACACTCACTTACAAAACATACACTTTCACTGACAAACACACACTCACTAACAGACATCAGACACACCCAATAACAGACACACCCAATAACACCCACATTAACACCCACACACTAACACACACACACACACACACACTAACACTAACACACACACTAACACACACACACACAACACACACACCAACACACACACACACACACACACACACACACAAACACACACCAACACACACACACACATTTTTATTGAATCCCAGCCTCCTACCTTTTGAGTGCTGGGGCATTCCCTGGGGTCCAGTGGGTGGTGCTGCTGGGTCTCTGGGCTGGCGGGCGGGTTGTCTGTCAGGTCCGCGCCAAGTGAGGGAGCACTCTCCCCGAATGCTTCCTCTTCAGCTGCCAAGAGATAGCAGGAGCCGGAAGATGATGTCATCTCTCCTGCTCCAGCATCAGTGCGGCGCATTTGCAGGGAGCTGGAAGAGGAAGCACTCAGGGGAGAGTGCTCCTCGCGGCGCCGACACCAGACAGACAGCCAGCCAGCCCGCCGGGCCGGGGTCAGCAGGGCCAGCCTCGGCCCTGAGGTGGCCGCCTCCTGGGCCCCACAGGAGAAGAGGCTGGCCCTGTGGGTACATACCGGGTCGCAGGGGCGGCCGGGCCCCCTGGTGGGCCGGGCCCGGTTGCAGCCGCGTCCCCTGCGAACCTGGTATGTACGCCACTGTGAATAGCAATTTATTCCACATTTATTCCACAGATTCTTAATCCTTTGAGGTCCAGGCTTTGTTGGGTTCTGAGTTTCAAACCAGTGTAGCTGACCGGGTTTTTAAAGTTATTCTCTTATCTTAGTTATTACTCTCTGCTCCGAATATGAAAGCTTTCCTTTAGGACTAAATTGTATTTTGATTACAGGTATGTACGTCTTGTTTTGTTTACCGATGGTCCTCATTTAGCGACCTACCTGTTTTACGATGGCTCACACTTACAACCAGGTGTAAGTGCAAGCTGCCGTGGGGATTCCCTGCTCTGGTGCGCATGTCTATGTTCCCTGCACGAGAGCAGGGAATCCCTCTAATCTATGCTCTGGGAAATTTCCCCGAGCGTAGATTAGAGGGATTCCCTGCTCTGGAGCATTCGTCTATGTTCGGGGAAGTTTTTAGAGCAGGGAATCCCTTACTCCTCACTTACCGACCAGGTCGTAGGAACAGAATGCGGTCTGTAAGTGAGGTGTGTCTGTATAAGTAAAAGTGTATCTATCTATTTGCCTATTTTTAATTACGATTTGCTTTTTAGCTTCCTATTTTTGTTGAACCAAGAAGCTAATCCAAGTTTTTCAATCAAATTTTAGTGTACATCCAAACATTCAACATTCATGACCATTTAGATAACCCCCACAAATGTATATTATTATTATTATTATTACACATTTTGGAAGTGTACAGGAAGTGCAGATCACTACATTTTAATACTTATATGGGACTGGGATGTAATATCCTCTAGGCCCACAAACAACACAAACACATAACTTGAAATCAATATGTAAAAGTCTGAAAGGTTTAAAATGTAAAGTTAGAAAAATATTTTTATCAATAAAGTAACAGTTGCAAAATCCTAACTTTAGAGGGCACCAAAGGACATTCTCAACACCCATGCCGGACACCATAGAAGTAAGTAAAGGATAACATATCCTATCTTGTGGATATGTTGGTCTTCATGACATAAACTAAATGCTTTTTTTTCTATGCATTTAAAGGAACACTCCAGATTCCAGAACCACTATAGCTCACAGCAGTGTTTATGGTGACAGAAAAGTCGTCCCCCCCATTGAAATAAGTTGAATAGTTATCGAATGGTTTGACTATTACCTGGAGTTGGCCTGCTGCTATTCCCCATTTCCACTAACATGACATGAGGTAACAGAAGTTCCTGCTGAGGAATTCCCATTTCTCTTGCCATGGTAGTGGAGCTTCCCCGTTAGACTCCACATAAAAAGTCAAGTTGTTCAAGAACGGTTTGACTCCTTACAGTAGGAGGGCTCCAAGTCACCCGTGGCACCATAACCACTACAGCGAAGTGTAGTCATCATATTGCTCTCAGCAATTCCTTTAATTATCTTTAAAATAAATTCCTCACAATTTGATAGAAAAATTACTGTTGTGCATCACCTGCATATCTCAAGTTGGACTTTGGGAGATCTACTATGGGCACAGAAATTCTGAGAAATCATCTCTTTCTGCAACTATCCCAGAATTCCCAGCTAGACATGCAAATAAGCACAGACAGGCATCTGGTTTCTGATTTAACACTGCATTTCTGCAAATATTATTAGCAATGGACGCAAATTAAAAAAACATCCTAACATATTTCATTTGTATATAATGGTGTTTGTGTGTGTGTTAAAGGACCACTATAGTGCCAGGAAAACATACTCGTTTTCCTGGCACTATAGTGCCCTGAGGGTGCCCCCACCCTCAGGGACCCCCTCCCGCCCGGCTCTGGAAAGGGGAAAAGGGGTTAAACTTACCTTTTTCCAGCGCTGGGCGGAGAGCTCCTCCTCCTCCGATCCTCCTCTTCTCCTCCCCATGCGAGCTGAAGCGTCATCGCAGGAAAGCATTCTCAATGCTTTCCTATGAACGCTGGCGCTCTTACTGTGAAAATCACAGTGAGAAGCACGCAAGCGCCTCTAGCGGCTGTCAATGAGACAGCCGCTAGAGGAAATAGGGGAAGGCTTAATCCATTCATAAACATAGCAGTTTCTCTGAAACTGCTATGTTTATGAAAAAATGGGTTAACCCTAGAAGGACCTGGCACCCAGACCACTTCATTAAGCTGAAGTGGTCTGGATGCCTAGAGTGGTCCT